ACAAGTAAATATTGGCAGGTTTTCTTAATTTTCTGTGACACTAAATTAAATGGTTCCAGCTGCTCAGAGGCGAGGATTTATGGACTGTCTTTGATTTGCAGTATAAAATGAGTGATGAACACCACGTGTTTCTATCTGTAGGCAAAGTTGTGACAATTAGCTATTTTTTTTTGATGAGTCACTTTCCTGACATTTAATGGTTGCGGCTTCTTTAATGTTCTTTTTTTTTTAATTTTCTTACATTTGTAAATACAAGAATTCAGATTCTAGGTAAACATTGTTTTTTTGTTGTTGTTTTATATTTTAGTTTATTTTCTGTGATATTTAAACATCTTTGGGTTTGGAGTTTTGGAAACTTGTGACATTTCCTAGACCAAGTGATGATTTGCACACTAAGACACATAGGGATTAAAAATGATGCTCAGTTGCAGCCTGATATAATTTTGTGTCGCTGCCTCTCAGACAGACAGGAAGTAAAGCCTATTTCCTGCCGCTCTGCTCTGCAGTCCGGCACAAACCAGATTTGATTGATGTGCAACCAGAAAAGGACCCCGACACACACACACACACACACACACAGACACACACACAGCAGCCACTGTGTGAATTAAACAGTTCAGTCACTGCAGCTCAGCTTCCTCCATCACACTGATGGCACACTCTGCTTTGATGTGTGTGTGTGTGTGTCTGCATCACAGCCCTGAACTGACCGTCTGGTCACTGATCTACACAAAATAAACAAGGAAGCAAGTCGGTTACCAAACATCAGTGGAGCGCCCCAGTCACCCAGGTCATGATCCGGACAGCAGCTGGCAGCTGGACTCGCTCCAGGTATTTACCCCACAGAGACTAAACACCTAGACTCCACCAGTCTGGAACCTCGAGTGAGTCCAGGTGCCATCTACAACACCTCTGCACACATATCATCTAACTGTGTCAGACATCTGCTTGTTGCAGATTTTCTCTGACTCATGGCACAGCAGACTGGATGCTTTGGACCGGTGTGACCAGTGTGACTGGACTTATCTTAAGTAGGACGATTCCATACTGGTGCTGAAATGGAGAAGTAGTCCTGGATTACGATGGTAAAAGGAGAACAATGAGTCAACTGCTTTGAGATTTTAAATCACAGAAGAGAAAAGAAGAAAATGCCAAAGCAGAAAGCCTGAAACAAGCAAAACAACCCAGCTGAGGAGCATTGATCTGATGAAGGGAGGAGATGTTCCGGGACTCTCGGAAACAAACAGGCAAATCAGAGACGTCCACAGGGAAACTGGGGAGGACGTGAAATCTTTAAGACCAAAGTGTTTATAAGAAGCTGGATTTGAACATCGGGAGATGCTGTGAATTTGTTTCCTCTGTGGCAGCACAACCCCCGAGATCAGCCTTCAGTTACTGTAACAAACTCACTACCACCAGGCTGGAAACACCCACTAGCCTAGCCACATCCAGGCTACAAACCACCCATAATGCAACACTGTCCGCTCTCCGTTGTCAGCGCCCTCGAGCTTTTCAAACCAAGTTTTTACTGAAAATATCATCTTATATTTAGCCAAGACAGTAACAGAGTGAATGGACGGAACACAGACCACATGCACACACCGCTCCGGTTCAACCTCGTTTACCTTTGTCTGGGTGACCCAGAGCTTCTCCCACTTCTAAACCAGGGCCAAATGAAAAGGCGCCTTTTAGGCCCTCTCACCAGGAGCCAGGCTCCCACAGTCTGGCGAAGCCCTGGCACACAAACGCAGACAGTCACACATAAGCTCCAGGGTCCTCTCCTCTCCTGTGAATAAACCCTGTGGTGGTGGAACAGCCTAATGCTCCCAATGCACCTCCAAATACCACCACAATTAGTGCCAGTTGTGCCCATTGAGTGCTGCAGTGTGGGGTCAGTTAGCACCTGTGAGGTGGCGTGGCAGTCTGCAAAGTCACAAAGAGGATGGATAATCGCATTAGAGAAGCCACCAGGCTGCTTGTGCCTCAAGGGGCAATGAGATGCCTGAAACAGTCATAACAGGAGGAGGCTGATGAGGTTTCCAGGAAAGGACCCTGTGCTGAAATCTCTCCTGTGGAAACTTATCAGCCGCCTTCCCCTATCCACTGGGCAGTCCTCCCATGACCACAAGGCCGAGCGGTGGCATGCTGCGCTGCAGTCACACCATCACATCAGCTCATAACATGCCGGCAGCTGTTTGCCTCACGAGTGGTGTGTGTGTGTGTCCGCTGGCTCGTTGGACTCACTGCTGTAATGCCACTCATTACTTCAGCCTGTCACATATGCAAGAGGACAGGCTGATTCACTCAGCCCACCCTATGCCAGCTTCTTGTTGATTAACACACTATTACAGTAGAGCTGAGACTGATCATCCAGCAGCTGATCGAGACGTGTGAGGTCATCACCCTGAGGTGGAGGAGAGAGCCATGAGCATTTTTACTATGCTTTGACATAAACAACCAAATAGCAGGAAGATTAATCCTTAATAAAACTGATCAGCCTGCTGATGTCTGCTGGGGTCACCAGAAGCTTGTCACGTTTAATAGACTAAACAATGAATCACACTGTGTGGCAGATAAAAACAATTAGTAGCAGTGACTGAAACGTCACACTGGGCGCACTCCGTTTCAGGACAGCCCTGTGAGTCCACAGGAACTGGAGGTCATGTCGACTGACTGAAAATTAATCAGCGGCAGTTCCATCATTTTAATTGTTTAATTCTTAAAGTGAATTAACCAAGAAAAAGTGACAATAGTTCAGGGGCCTCTCACGTCACTGTTTGGTGCTTTTCTACATTTATTATAAATATTTGGAGCCGCTGGTCGACAAAACACAACAAACAGACAAGCAGCCGGGTGATTAATAAGAACAATAATCTGCAGATTAATCAGTAATGAAAGAGGCTGTTAGTTGCAGCTCTTGGCACATTCAGCCATATTCTCACGGTTACTACACGTGAGAGAAATGGTCCTACACACTTTGAAACATCTGTCGCCTGCAGTCACTCAGACCACAGCTGACTGGTGGGATCTCATTGTGAGGAGAATGACAAGACACCACAGCTGCTCCAGGAGAGACTTTAGCAAGTCCTCGGTGGCTGGAGCTCCTCCTCTCCAGGGGCGACCCGTCACCTGGAGCCAGGTCTGCTGTGCCCCGCACATCAGCTGGAGACCTGCTGGCTGGGATTTACAGGGCGTTTTCTTTGTGTTTTCCCTTAGACAAGGGTCCAAACTTTTGTCACATACACAAACATCACTGTACATGTAGTGCAAAACAACCACAAGGTCTCACAGCCCGTCCCTGTGTGTCATGAAGACTAAAGCCAGAGACTAATAGCTGCAGCAGACCTGACCCCATCTCCACCAGTTGCTCCTGTACTGAACTCTGCTTTAAGACACGTCACTGCCGCACCTGAGAAAAATCAGAGCAAAATGTGAAAGCGGATCTGGAAGCAGCAGTGAGAAACACCTGGGCTGACAGACAACACATCTGTTCTCTGGACAGCTCCTGGTGGAAACGTCCAGGCAGCCGCTGCTCCCTTTCAAACGTTACAGCATCAGTCGGTGCAGGTGGGAGGTCTGCACACAGACACCTGACTGAGAGATCGCAGCCGCTGCCAAATCCAGCGAGATGGTCATAAATTTAGCAACAGTAGCTGGATTGATTTAAAACGCCCCCTGTGAAGAAAGCCTGCCCATATGCTCCGTCTCTCACATTCCTGAAGACCAGCCCAGGCCAACGTCTGCTTCACTGGGACCCTTTTTATTACAGCGTTCTTTTTGTACACTAACTGCTAAATCATACAATACACACTCTCTGCAGTCAGTGAACTGGGTCTGGGCGCAGGTTTCAGAGGGTTTTGTGAGTTAACATCTCACTTTTAAAAAGCAAAGTGATAACAGCTAAGTATACGTCCTTTCTTTGCCCGTGTATTGATGGCATTCCTTATCACTGATGCCATGCACACAGAGCTAGCTAACAGGAGGCTGATAAACTGGTCTTGTTTCATTTTAAGACTCACAGGAAAAACATTCCTTTATCCTGCAGCTGTTTGTGGATCCACCTTCACTGACCCTAACTGACTGATAGGTGGGAGCGGCCTTCAGAAGATGGTTTCTCACTCAGGCACAGGCGGAGCTCAGAACATGTCGGCCATGCTGCTTCACTGCCATGTCAGTCCCATGTTGTTCCCATCATTTCATGTGGACGAGCATGGTGGGAATAGTCATACTGTCTGTTTCATGTGGACGAGCATGGTGGGAATAAGCCTTAATTCTCGTGATAGCAGCTGTTCTGATCTTCACATTTAAATCAGCACATCCATCATGTGCACACTGTCATTTAGCAGAGCACTGTGCAGGCTGCTGCAGGTGTACAAGGTGAGCCTAACAATGACAGCAGCAGCTCTGACTGCATATCAAGGGCATCCTCTCCTCCACCAGACCCCACCACCACCACCACTCCTCACCCCACCAGCTCACAGCAGCAGACAGCTCCACCACTTCTCAGTCCTCTGCAACTGTGCAAAGTGCAGCGGCCACAACCTCGGACCCCCCTCAGCAGAGCTGTGACCTCAGCACACTTTCCAAATGATTTTCAACAGCAAACAGAACATAAGTGAACGCCTCCTCACCCTAGTTTTTAAGGTGATGAAACTTTGAAACTGGAAACTGCTGAACAAAACCTGGATCCAGAGTCTTTGACACACAAACCTCAGTGATAAGAGCCGAACGTGCGGCCAGTGCATCAGGACACAACACTGGCATCAGACGCACTCATGAACGACGCATGAAGTCCGTGGGGGGCTGCGCGATGAAGACAAAGCTTCAGCGCAGCTCGGTGCTGTTTGTTCATGTGATGCGCCCTACTGGAGCGAGCGAGGGCAGCAGCGCATCTCTCCAGAAACCCGCGCAGCAGGCGGCCAGGAGGAGCGCGCCATCGGCTGGGCAACATTTACAACTGAACACCCTCAAATGGCGACGCAAAGCAGACCTGATCTTACCGGTGGTTCATACGGTGGAGAATCCGACACAGGCTCCGCGGTCGAGTCGTCAATAAATCCCGGTGCAGGTGAAGCTGGAGACCATCCTCCGTCTGTCTCCTCTCAGACGCTCCGCTGCAGCTCTGCCCGCACACTCCGGTAGGAAGGAACCGGGGCGCGCCACCGACACAGCGCCGTGCATGTCTGGTCTCTGTCAATCGGTACGGACCGGTGGACAGGGGAGGGCGGGGGTGGGGAGAGAGAAACTGGGTTAGTAAATGAAATGAATTAAAGCTGCTACAGTGAGAGCTCGACCGTTATTTCAGTCTTTACGTCATGAAAATCTCACGTGTGTGACTTCCATGTAATAACAGGACACAGACAGTAGAACCGGAAGCACCGCCACAAAATGGGGAGGTGGATGTAAAACAAACAAATAAACAAAAACAGGCAACTGACCTGAAAGTGACAGGTAGGTTTATATTAACTGACAGGATGTGAAAACCAGAGTCAGTGGCTCTATAATATTTGGGCAGTGTGGCCAGGCTGGTGCACAGACTCAATGAGTCAGGGGTGGTACATTTGGAATACATGTAAAAATCAAATCAAAACAATTACAATCCTGGTTCTATGAATTAGTAAACGGAATCAAACTGTTTATTTTGATTAAAAATCAGACACACATAGTGCCTTGTTTAACCAGCTTTGTCTACGCTCCTTATTTAGTCCCAGCCGGGAGCATCGCTATTGCACAGGGGTCTGAACAGAGAGAAAGACAGGGATTTTCCAAAGTGTTGCATTACTTCAATCCAAAACCACCGGTTCCTCAGGAAACTGTCAGACTGTTTAGTGTGGCTTTGCGTGTCACCTAGTGTCAGACCTGGATGGTGTTTCTCAGTCTCTTGTTATTTTTGGCCTCACAGTGTGACACTCAAAGCCATGAACACAGATGGAAATAAGTGGCAGATACGTGCCTGAGCTGCAGGACACGCTGTAACCTTGGCAGGAGAGACGACTGGGAGCATCGGGCCCAGGGGACAGAAACCCTGGAGCACAGATGTCCACTGAGGCTGCAGCAGGACATATCACACAGGACGTACATCACATGGCCTGGACAGTGACCGTGGCTCTGTGCTGAACCTGAAATATATGAAGTATCTCAGAGAGGAAACCTGTGGTGTGAACGTTGCTCTGCTGTTTCTGCAACAACACAGCTGAGTTCAGCTGCCTTCTGCGGCCAGATGTTAACCAACATCAGCACAGCAGATGATGGACAGACTGGTGAGCCAGTGAAGGCCTGCGCATGCTGAACTGGGTATCTGGTGCTCCCTGCTGGTGGGCTGGAGCACAAGCAGCATGTTAATGTCACAGCAGAGTGACACAGCAGTGTCTGTACATACTGTACAGCCCAACTCACCACTGTTGTGGCTTTACGCAGGGACTGACATGGAAACATAAAGACCATAACAATGACTCATTTCTGGAGGGAGGAACTCAACCCAACATCTCTGAAAAGCTCAGACATGATGATCTTTAACTGTCAGAGGCAGAAAACTGTATGTACATGACCTGTGCACACCAGTATGAACTGGCTGAAGTCATTTAAACTTATACAGGACTCACTAAGGCATGAGACAGCTTTTTTCTTTTGGGGTGCAGAAGTGACTCGGCTTTTATAAAGCTGACCCACGGATGGGAGTTAATAATACTAACACAAACAGGAAGCCAAAGCCAAGACATCACAGTTCTAACCTCCTGTTTGAGTTTATGGTGTGACCACGTGTCTGTGTACACTTTGCTACAGAACACCTGCAATTAAATACCTGGCAAACCTTTGGATTTCTTGTCAAATATATTATGTACATATGATGTAACAAGGAAATACTGGTGAAGAAATACTACATTATTCTTCAGAGTATTCCAGTGCATAAATAACTTAGTAAAACTTTTCTATATCACAGTTTTCAAACCCAGTGTTTCAGTGCCATCGCTGCCAGGGAATATGTTCAATGGTGGGAAGTAACTCCTACATTTACTCAAGTACATTACTGAAGTACACATATGAAGGTATCTGAACCTGAGTGCACCTTCCCAGCGAGGTCACATGATCCAAAATATCACTAAAAGAAACGTTTAAACACAGAAAACAGTAGAGCGAATCAGATCTGTGCTTCACTTCTGTCCTCTCTGTGAGGACACCCTGCAGATTTACCTGGTGACCCTGTGGAGGGCCCCAAGCCCTAGGTTGAAAACCAATGGCCTCAACTAGCTAACTGTGTAAAAAGTCGTTAAAAGCAGTAAAATGCTAAACCAATTGAAGGAGAAAACGAGCCCCATTCAAGATTCTACAAATTTAATGATACAACTAAGTCTGGTCCGTGACACGTGTGTGTGTGCCTTTGTATTACTTACATTAAAGGGACCGAAACCTGTTTACACACTCACATTGTGGGGACCCGGTCATCACTGAGAAATCGCTGAATTTTAAGGTGGCAAAATGGTTTAAGCTTAGAATGAGGTCAGGGTCAGGTGTTAGGCAAGTAGTGGTTATGGTTAAGCTTAGGATAAGTGTACAGGAAATGAATGTAAGTCAATGTAAAGTCCCCACAAAGAATGAAAACACAGCGTGCGTGTGTGTGTGTGTGTGTATGTCATAAACCGATGAATGTTATTTCATGACATCTGACACGTGATGAAAACAGAACCGCACTTGTTCTCACGTATGATTCTGGTTCTTATCTGACTGGAAGCCGGCTGTGTTTGTGACTGTACCTCTGTTTTCAGTCTGTGTGCTCTGACTTGTTGCAGCACGTTCACATCGGCGTGCAGGAAACGTGCAGGAAACGCGCTTCACACATTCAGGTTACTACGCTACGCTACAGATACACTGCAGTCAGCAAAGGAGAATTTCCCCGGGCACAGCGGAGTTTCCAGTGTGGGCGGAGCCTGGTGCAGGAAGTCCTGAGGTCCCGTCATAAAACAGGACGTGCCCACGATAAGCTGATTGCGGCTGTGCACAGACCGTGCTCGTTACTCTGAGCATTACATACCCGGATTGTGTGCGATGGGTCCGGCCGTGCTGGTGGACATGGTACACGGCTGCTGTCCGACCTGCGCCGGCTTGTCTCTGCAGGAGGAGTCCACAGCAGACGCGCACGTCTTCCTGCTGTACGGGAAACGTTACCGGGAGGAAGACGGCTTGTCAGACGCGGCTCTGAGCGCGTGCAGGAGCGTGCAGGTCCTGGACTCCGGCTCCACCGCGGAGTGCTTATACCAACTCAAGCAGACCGTGGACCGGCTCGAGCTGAGCACGGTCACGGTCCTCACGACCCCGCAGGGCCGGGAGGTGCTGCTTGTTTACCAGCAGCAGCTTTTTACGGCAGTGTACACCTTCAATTACAAGGTGAGGTCGGTGGACAACTTCACCTGTCCGAGCTGCGCAGGCTCCGACCACACGGACTCACCTGGCGCGGCAGTGCACGAAGAGGTGTCGGCCTTTCTGCAGCGGCTGCCTGCGCTGAAGGGAGGAATCACAGTGCTGCAGTCAACGCTGATCCCAGGTCGGTTCAGTCACAATAAACAACAGTTTGTTTGCAGACAGTTTGTAAACGCTGATTTAACCCGTGAAGGCTTCGTGTGACCAAGCGGAGTTTATTCTCTGATTGTATTGGCTTCTTTGTCAGAAAACGGGAACAAGAAAACAAAACTTTCTTTGTTACAAAATTCATACACAACATGCAGAAAATAGCAGGCGTCTCTGCTGTTGCCACCAGCAGTACGACGGGGATGATAAACGTGCACGGAGGTGCTCGTCGGAACTTTGCTTCATGCCTGTGGTTTTGGGAGTGAGCGGTTTTAACGCGCTGACGTCCCTGCTGTCATGGATGAACTGGTATCAGACCAGCAGGGACGCCTGCCAGAGGGTCACGTGTCCGTCTTGTACCACTGGTTGAGCCCATAACTCCATTTAGGGTTTGCCGGTTTAATGATTATGTGATGTTCCAACATGATATGTCTGTACCGATTTAAAGAAAACCTGTTTTTACAGACATAACAGACTCTTAAATAATCTGCCAATTTAATGAAGACTTTCCCGTCACTTCAGACCAGGTGTAACTCTTCTGGAACATACACCGACCAGGCATAACATTATGACACCTGTACATCTGTGTGCACTTACATGCAACACTTCTGCTTTAACATTTGTGTTTATGAAGCTCAAACTGTTTGTGTTTGGTGAGACTGTCATAAATGTATACATTAAATTGTATGTTCATTACTGAGGTCATAGTTAAAGGTGGCGTTGTACAGGACTACTTTAGTTTCAGAGCTCTCTGTATATTTTTGTCCTGCCCATTGACATACATGAGAGGGTCAAAATTGGTGTTTGTTACTTTCCCTCCGTGTGTGTCAGGCTGTTTCGGTCACGGCTTCAGCACTCGAACAGGTGGCGTGTCCTACCTCCCGACCCTGTCTTCCATGAATTTGTTCAACAGCAGCAAGCGAAGGGACCCGCAGGCCGTGGTGACGGAGAACAGACGCCGACTAGCCCTGCATGCCGGGTTCCATCCTGAACCACTACACATGATCAAGGTACTGGTTTTACACAAGATCCTAATGTAGGCTGCATGCAGAGGTGTGAGGGCCTGTGGGCCTGGCTCATGTCTTTACTGCCACCTAGTGGTTCCTGGTTGGTTCTGTAGTGACAGAGTTGAGGTCACATTTAAAAATAATCTTCTCTTTCATGTGACCTTTATTTATCCAGGGTGGATTCCTTGAGGTCAAGGCCCTCTTTTACAAGGACGCTCTGCTAAGATGGCGTCAGACGTTACAGACAAGGAAAGCATACAATCACGTGTACAACAATCCAAAGATAAAACAACAGAAAACTCAGTTGAATGTGGCGTGAGCTCAGTGGAACGGTGGAGATTTAGAGCACATGTTAAAACATTTGCTAAGTGAGGTTAATGTGTATCGCTGGCTGGATGTGACAGCAGATCCACAGTGACGCTGCTCTGCACAGACCAGCACAACACACACCACAGCATGCGACAGAAACCCACCACGGTGACTGGTTGAATCCAGTGTCGCTGCGTTCGCTGGAAAATCTGTTGTTTTTCCCCAGAGTGATGCAACTGTGATGTGTGTTCCTGTGCACGTCTGTTCTGATAAACGGTCCGGACATGTGCATGTGACTCAGCTGAAGCTCTGCACTTCATGCTGTATGGGCCTGTCTCCTGCAGACGAACCACGCCAGCGATGTGTGGGTCATGGGCACAGCCGAGCCGGAGAGCTACGATGGGATCATCACCAACCAGACCGGCGTGGTGCTGGGCGCTCCGGGAGCCGACTGCATGCCCCTCCTGTTTGCCGATCCTGTATCAAAGGTCATCGGAGCCGCGCATGCAGGTAAAAGTTGCAGAAAACTTAAGACAGCCTGAACTGTGTGAATGTGAACTGGTGGAGATGTAAAACAAAAACTCTCATCAGTGGTGTGCACACATGTTGTGCTCTAATCACTCATATGCTCATTTGTACACAGAGAACAGAACAGATGTAGGTAAACCAAGTCCTGCACTAGACACATGAACTGGGGCCCAGTCAGGCTGCGCTGGTGTGTCTCCATAGGTTACATGAAGGCCACAGATGTCAGCCGCCACTCACCCCTATTGTTTTCTACTCACCCTCAGGCTGGAGAGGGACCCTGATGGGGGTCGCCATGGCAACGGTGGAGGCCATGGTGAGAGGATTCGGCTGCCAGGTGAGCAACATTGTGGTGGCGGTGGGGCCATCGGTGGGGGCGTGTTGCTTCACCCTGGACAGAGCGCAGGCACTGGACTTCATCCGCATCCACCCAGACTGTGTCCCTGATCCAGAGTCAGCCAGACCGCACGTCAACATCCGCCTGGCCAACAGGTACAGGCCACAGACAAGGGCCTGGTGTTTTCAGGCTGACATCACCTTTACTGGTAAAACAGGTGGATGTGTTTAGGCGAGAGCAGGTGACCAGCCGTGGGAGGCTGCATGTTAACGTCTCTTCTACATGTGACATGCTCCTGTGCTGCCTTTATGTTTTGCTGACCTACACACTGTTGATACTACAGTTGTACTCCGTTTTATTCCAGTGTTTCTGACCAAATAATCCCCCGCTTCCCAGAATCCTCCTGCAGAATGGCGGTATCCTGCATGAACACATCCATGATGACACGGTGACGACGCGGCCCTGCGTGACACCCTGCACCTCCTGCCACCCTGAGCACTTCTTCTCTCACGTCAGAGACGGACCAGACTTCGGCACCCAGGTGGGCTTCCTGTGGGTCAGGAACCAGCTGTGAGCTCCAGCAGGTGGGGCCGAGTCACAGCAGCAAAATTAGGCGCACATATCCAGACGGAGTGTAAGCCAGCGGCCCCCCTGCCTCCTGCGCAGGGTCAGGGGGCTGGAAAACAGGAGGGTTCGGGACCTCTCTGCTCATTTTGTCTTTTTACCAGTTTATTTCATTTTGAATCTTTGTGGTCATTTAATATTCCTTATTTTTGTGTGTGAAGAGGCACAATGGGAGTTTTCTGTCCGTGTAGTCATGCTGAGTCTCCTTCTTGTTGTTTTTGGGTCTTTTCACTGACTCTCAATCACCACATATTAAGTCACTTATAGAACAGGGGAGAAGGAGACGGGAGATGCCAGGAAATTGTCCCTGCCCTTGATGTAGGACAAACTCATCTGATTCTTTGTGAGGATTCTACCATGTTATGATACTGTAGTACTGCAGTGTTCACCCGAGCTCATTAAGTAAACTGGGAAACTCCGCTGTCGTGAGTGTTCTTCAGTCAGCCGAACACAGAGGTTGACAAGTTCAACACCAAAGGTTTTATCTGGTAAAGCAAAGTAAAATACAAGTGTTGCTGTCTAATGCAACATGTCACAGTATGTAGAGTGAATGGAGGTTTATCTGCAGTGAGTGACCAGTTTATTAGGTACACCTGCCATAACACCTCATAAGGTTTCAGGCTTTGGTGAAAATGTCCAGGTCTTAGTTTAGTTATATTTATCACTGAGGTCATAGTCAAAGATGGTGTTTTACAGGACTGCATATGGTCAGAAGTGTTCCTAATATTCTGAAACCCTCATCTATGTGGGGATCATACCTGGCTGTGGCTCAGGAGGTAGAACAGGTCGTCTCCTAACTGGAGGATTAAGTGGTTTGATTCTTGGCTTGTCCAGTCCACATGTTGAAGTGTCCTTGAGCAAGACACTGAAACCCCAGTTGCTCCCGGTGATGACGCCGTACATGAATGTGAGTCCTTGGGAGTGCGAATGGGTGAACTGACGCCGTACATGAATGTGAGTGCTTGGGAGTGCGAATGGGTGAATGGCCAAGTTGTGTGAAAGCACTTTGGAGTGTGCTGCAATGTATAGAAAAGCACTATATAAGTATAAGACCATTTACCATCTATGTCTCTGTGCAGGACGGAGGCAGTCTAGTACAACACCATCTTTAACCAGAGGCGCACTTATAGACACATGATGCAGCTATTTCACCACAACCCAAAACATCATGAGCTTCCTGAAGTGGTCAATGATGCAGACGTGTTGGTGCAATTTCAGAGGTTCCTGGATACATTTACTTGACTCAAGGGTTTTAGCTGAAGTTATCACAGCTGCTGTTTTCAAGACATGCACCAACAAACTGCTTTTCAATTTAAACACAAAATGCCCAGAGCCACAACCTCAAACTGAGATCCTAACATCGATGCTCAAACTTAAAGTTACAGAAAACGGGTTTTGGAGTTTAGCTGCAAACATCCACATGTAACTAATGTATTGGAGTTTTTAGTGGTTTCAAACAAGACAAAACACAGACTTGTCTGAAATACAGGCAGCATTTAATGTCAGTCAAAGCAGCCCTTTGTATAAAACCTAAATAAACCAGAGACAACGGAGCAGTACAAAGTGCTGTGAACAGGTTTCTCGAGACTCCATAAACAGAATTCTACTGACACTGGTTTTTAGATTTTATTTCAAAGTCCAATTTTCTCAGGTCAGTGCAACTTCAGTCACATTAAACATCTAAACAGCAAAACAAAAACCCAGGCTCCTGCAGCCAGACAAGTTCACAGTCGGTCCAGGTGAAATTCTTTCTTGTCACTACAAGTGGGCTGAGGTCAGGTGACCTGCACATGACTGACAATAATGGCACCGAGCTCTACAGCCCACAAAGCAGAGATGCATGTTTTCTTGTTCAGTACTTCCTTGTTGTCACATTTCTGCCAAAATCATTTGACACCCATCGGAGAGCATGGACAGACACACAGGTAATAAACATTCACTCGGTCACTGGGTGTGGCCTTTTCACTTCAGCGCAGCCGGAGACGTCCTCCGAGGCTGAGGCCAGGCCTTTGGGTTAGTGTGCCAGCTTCACTTATTATCAACCAGCTGCACTACACAATAGCTTCGTCCCCACACACACACCAGACGTGTGAATAAGAAAGGTAACAAATCCACTTGTTGGCTGTTTGTCACTTCTACTGATTGTCCAGCCTGAGCCTCATGTTTCACGTCTGCGTGATCGCTCAGTCTGTGTCCGTCTGGTTGGTGTGTCCACACAGTCGCCTTCAGCCACACAAAACACTTTGGTCTCCTTCCATACTTGGACCTTTTCCTCAAATTCCAGTTTTGAAGTTTCTTATATGTGAAGACAAGTGGATGGAAACAGTTCTGACATATGACTACAGTTTTGTGGAGCTGTAGCAAACACAGCTATAGCTGAAGCTTAGGCTGTTTCCACATCTCAACGCTCAGCTCTGACCCTGCTGTACTGCTGCTTCACATCCATGTGTGTCAGTGACGTGTACAGCTCATGTGACCACAGCTGAGCTCCTAAACTGCCACACGTGCACAGACTGAACTGAAATGTAAAATGTTCTGATGTGAGAACATCTGGTCTGTTCACACGTCTGTGGAAACACCAGGTGTGACTCATTTCAGCTGGTTGTGGACACAGCCTCGAAGCTGATGTTTCAACACAGGATGACTCCCAGTGTTAGAGACGGAGGGTTCATCCTCTGGAGAATTCATCTGTTCACTAAATTTCATACAGCATGACAATTAGACTATGACATGTAACATGTGAACATGTAAAAATACTGTCCTCCGCTACAGGAGAGGACCCGAAACAGAGTTCATCCTCTGAGAACCAAACTCTGCTCTCATGGACAGAAGTGATGACTGGGGGAAACCAGGCCATGAAAAATCTCTGAGACAGCACAGATCCAGGGCGGTGCTCATGTATATCTGGCCACAAGTGTAAGGACAGATAGAAGGACCAAGCTCAACATATACAATCAGATCACAGCACTTTGGAATGAAACCCTCCAGCATGGAGGAAAACTCACAGTACAACAGCAGCTGCCTGACGTCACCTTGCAGAGACTGTGCTCAGCCTGCGCTCAACATCTCTCAACTTTTGGAAAGAAAGACGAAAGTATCCATGCAAATGTATCATCTCTCTACTGCAGCACCACGAAAGCAACACACAGAAAACTCATATTCTCTATCACACATGAAGATTTTAAAATGACCAGCTCCTGCACACGCTCTGGGTTTCTGGTGACCCCGGACTCTGAAGGTTCTCATTTGGCCACAACAGCAGCATTAACACCTGAACCTGGAGCAGCATGCGGGCTGTGAGCCAGCGATACACTGCCCTGCACAGTCCTCCTGCAGTGTACTTATTATGCGCCTCTGAACATTAAGCACCACTGGCACCTGCAGCACTGTCTCAGTAACAGCTCCTGAAAATCTCTGTGGCACCAGCATCGTTCTGCGTGCCGTGCACAGCGTCTGTCACAGGGACAAATATTTAATCAAGCCTGTGATCCTGTAGGAGGAGGACAGGGCTGGAGAAAGTATTCAGAAAGAAAAAGTACTGCTATGACACCGAAGTAATGATGTCACAAAAACTGTTGGTCAGTGTGTCACTACTCAGCCAAAGATCCCTAGCGAGGTAAGATGCTCCACTCGAATGCTGCTGTACAGTCAGAGTGGACTGAATGTTTCTATAGTTCCAACAACGCTGACAGGGTCAGACGACTTCTCTCAGAGATTCTTGTCACGTCAGTTTCACAGTTCAGATCACACCATCGGTGATCTCAGCTCGTAAAGTGAACCAGGAGCATCAGTTTGTGATGCTGAAGCTCCAGAACAACCAGGTGTCAGACCTCAAATCCACAGTTGTTGTTTCAACATGTTAGACACTTATCTAATCAGTGTTAATGTCAAAAAAAAAAAAAAAAAAACCCGAAATCAGCAGACAAAGGACTCAGAATCGCTGCCAAAATCACTTAGTAGCTTGGGACACAGGCACACACAAGCATTTGAATTTTAGCCAGTGTAAATCAAACCATGGGTAGGACCCAAAGAAATGTTGCTCTCTTTGTAGGGAACTTACAACAAACCTAGTTTCTGGATTAAACTAGATGTTTAAATGAAAAATCGCTGAACTCCAGCTTGTCACAATGAAACAAAAGGAGCAGTGAATTTCCACTCCCCAGCCCTGTGAGGAGGAGAAACGTGCTCCACCGCTGTCACCCCCTGCCTCCCTCTGCAGACAGGAACCTTCCCAGGTTTTCTGGGTAAAAGAGGCTTCAGACCAAAACATTTAAACAGCTCCAAACCTTATGTTATTTAAAACACAGTAAGAAGGCTGCAGCTTCAGATTAAAAACACAATAAAAGGTAGCTTTAAAGCCAGCGAGCCTTACACTCACTGAACTGCCATGAACAGTCCTGCAGTCCAGCCACCAGGCCACCACTTGTTAATGGGCTGACTGGAGACGGCCGCTGCAGTGACAGAAATTGGCTTGGAACTGGGACGATCGGTTTCTCGCCATCTTCACTCTCGTTCCTTCTTGCGTGTATTTGAGTGACAAAACATGCGCCAGTTCTGTCACAGCAGCGCAAACAAAGAAAAGCAGTTAGACAAAGCAGTGTGGTCCCAAGATGAGCTGAGAATTCTGGGAGTTTTCAGGTTTTCCAGACAGAAGAGTCCGGTCTGCTGTCCTGGGCCAAACTAATCATCTGACTGACTGTTGTCCAAACCAGAGGCTCCAGAAGGTACAGATGGTAGACTGTAGCCCATACTAACACCTGGGTGGAGCTTCAGCACCAAGATCCCTGACTGAGGTGAGAGGTACAGTTGCTATGAAAGGAGCTGAAGAAACAGAGAAAAGAGGAATGAAAGAGTAAGTGTCCTGAGGAAGGAACGACGGAAACAAGAGAGGAGGAGGGGGACAAAAGGAGGAAGAAACATCTGCAACCCAGAAGTCTACAGTTGAGAGTAGGTCCAGCTGCCTCGGTGTGTTACTTCATGTGACGCTGTATCAGCTGCAGTGGCAAAGCAGCAGTCCGGCCACTAGAGGGAGCAGTTTGAGCAGCAGCAGCCACAGAGTGACGGCCAGATCTGGAGAGCTGGAGCACGGGTCTGAAATAAACACAGCAACAGACACATGTGAACACCTGGCTTCATTCTGCTGGTCAGGACTCCGTTACTGCATCTTCTAACTCGAGAGCATCAAATGCGATTTGGATGTTAAAGCTACATTTAAATCACATGCATACATGCACTGAAATATAAACTGAAATACTGACTTCAGTATAAACAGCAGATACTTTGATCCAAGCACAGAAACAGAGATTCTTAGACGAGAATAAGAATCAGTCTAGAGTAACACAAATCCCAGGTTCCAACAACAATGTAACACTCCTGCAGTTCTGTCTTTGTGAAAAGCCCAGGCTGAACTGTTTCATTTCAACAGGCTAGGTCTGTTTTTGTTGACGTTCGTTGTCAGGTTAATAATTCTTGCTCTAGGCAGCTTTATTTCACCAGACTAGCCTCCCCCCGTTGCATCTCTGCTGTAGTTCAATTTCTCCCTGTGAGAAGTCACCGGCAGCTTGCAAAGCAGATTCTCCACCTAGATTCTGACAGTAACCAGCCTCAGATGACAGCATTACAACCTCCCTGTGTTCCACACTTTGCTGTCCAGCCTGCAGACACCTTCCCTTAGTGTTATGTGTAAAAATAAATAAAATCTATAGCTGTAGCTTCATAACCACCAGTGTTTCCATGCAACAATAAGAAAAGGAGGTGTGACCCTGACCAATGGGGTGACTCCTGGAGGTGTTGGCAGGCAGGAGCTGGTGGGGGAGAGGACAGTCGGCACACAAGTCGGCACAGGCAGGGCAGATCAGGATGCCGTTGTAAACCCAGTCGCTGACTCGGACGCTGACGCTCAGCAGCTGACCTTTACGGACGCAGAGGAAGGAGCGATCCTGAACATACACCGTCAGGCCCTGAGCCGAGCAGGACACCTGCAACACACACGTGTGATCTGTGAGTGCACTGCACTTTATTTGTACTTCATTTCAGTGTATTAGTTAAGTCCATGCTCAAAGAACTTTAAATTCAAACACCTCTGAAGCTGATGACCAGACTGTACACACTACTGCCATTGAGTATTGCTCAGTGGCTATAGTTACACTCAAACTGATGCCACTCTCATGGCTGTACAGTGAATATGAAGCTGAAACCAGCAGCCATTAGCTTAGCTTAGCATAAACCCTGGAAATGAGGAAACTGTTGGTTTGACAAGCAAAAATGATGAGATCAGAGGGAGAAACATCTGTGAAGTGAACAGCAGCTGATGAACAGAGCTCAGACCAGCTGGAGACACCGGTGTGGAGTCTGGCTGATAAAAGCAGGGCTGGACAAGCACAACTTAAGCTGACATCAGAGCCACAACGAATGGACAAGCTGCTGTGAACTGGGTCTAAGATTCATTAGCAGTCAGCACGTGATAATCCAGATTCAACTGTTCCCAATGGGTTTATTCTACTGACAGCACCTTGTAGCAGCCGGAGCCCCAGTCGGGGTACGTCATCTTCCTGGTGCACTGCTCCATAATGAAGGCAGACTTCTGGTACAGACACACAGAGTCTGGCCCATACTGCTCCGCTCCGTAGTTCCTCCACCAGTCTGAAAGCACACACATAACAGTCACACTGTTCAGACATGTTAGTGGGCACATCAGCACCTGTTCCATGAGCAGTTGCACTGATGATGCTGACAGTGAACTTGTCAGTAAGCCTCAGCTTGCCCATGTGCCTGCTGTGACTGACCCACTGGTCACTCTGAGCTGGTCTCTTGATGAAAATGTGCATTAGTTTTAAGTTTTTTTAAATTTTTTTTACTTTTTGTTCTCTGTAAAAACACCTTTCAGTGTGGTTTGGTCCTGCTTTTTACTGTTTCTGTCCTCTGTGTGACTGTAGTTGTTGCCATGTGTTGTGTTCTGTATAATACACTGATTGCAGAGGACTCAACACCGTGTCAAACTTTCAAAGTATCGCGCACAATATTGTGAAGCGTCACTTTACCACACCAGAAACCACATGACCACCCCAAACGAGGCCTCGTTACGTCACACTTGTCAGTCACACTGACTTGTTTGTCAGTCGTGCTGACAACCACATGTATTTCTCATTCTGCCACAGTATTGAGAGTAGTTGCAGAGTCAGTTTTAAAGTAATCCATTTTACTGAGCAAACCATAAGAAAATCATTAGGACTGCTAATATTCTCATAGTTTCTTTGTGGTCTCAGATTTAATTCACCCAGACAAATGCAGCAGGGGTCTGGCCTGCAGAGGGCGCCATTTTTGAATGAACGCTTTCATACTGACTCAGTGCTGCCTCCATCTATCCATGCTAGTGTACAGTTACCATGGTTACTGGTGTTGACTTGTAGTCACACAGCAAATATCTGCCATTAGAGACTGACTGAAGGGCCGATCAGCTGACACACATCACATGCAGCGTACTGACACCTCAGCAACGCGATGGTAGTGGCAGCAGTGGTGTGAGCAGCACCTGGCTGGTTCTCTGACACTCTGCAGTAGGAGCTCCTCTGGTACTCCCCACTGAGGTGCCAGCTGAACTCCTGGCTGAAGGGGCAGTAGTCAGCGATCTCCACAGCGCCCCCGAAGAACGGCAACTGATCAGCAGCCACAGCTGGAATCCCTTCAAAATACTGACACACACACAAACACATTCAGTCTATTGACAGAGCACAGTCTGAGACTAGTGTGGCCCTGAATGGCTAAAACCAGCAAACGGACACAACTGAATCAAATACTGAGAAACACACTGATCAGTTAGGTGAGACATTTGCAGCATAATACAACATACTACCCACAATCTGATGTTTTTAAAGCATCCTGAGCTGCACCTCTACCTGCAATGTGGCACACAGTGTATAAATAAATCTATTGTTAAATTCAGAAATGCACTGGAGCTGAAGGCCTGCCACTGGTTCTGGTAACTGAGCTCATGATTTAATATTTCAGTGTAAGCGTTCTGACTGAATGACACAGGATGTGCTGCAGATATCAAAGAACGCCGCTGTGATTCAGGTGCAGATGTTTGTACCTGGTACTCCAGCGGCAGCTCCTGTGGGTACTTCTGCAGGTTGCAGACGGCCACAGCCAGCTGGTCATGTCTGCAGGTCAGCTGCAGAGGAGAGGCTCGCACTGTGTCACAATACGGAGTCACAGCGTGTTGCCTGCAACGACACACACAACACTTAACACTACTGCTGAGGTAAGGCAGTCACAGTTCTTCAGTTATAATATCAAGGTTTATCTTTTATCAAAAAGGAACTAATCAGGTTTCTTACATGATGCAAAACTGTAGCTAATCAAATGATAAACATGACAGCACTGGTGCTGGACACAGACGCCTGGCAGCAGGAAACGCTACTCCTTACAGGCAAACATAAAATCCGAATGTACCCCCATCTTACTGCTGGTTAATCAAAATAGTAGATCAAGATGAAGCAGCACTACCAACAGTCTGACTGGTACTGTGAGCTTAAAATGACAACAGTGGCCTTTCTCTGTTATCTAAGGGACTCAAAACTGCACTAGGGACTCGGACTGTGACCTCTGTCTCTGCCTGTCCATCCAGAACTTGCAGCTCTTCATGACGAAGTCGCAGCCGAGACCGCGGCCCCAGTCCAGCCTCTGAGCCAGGCTGTAGTTAGCTCGGTACCAGCCGCTGTCTTCCATGATGGCCAGCGTCAGCCGAGAAAACACCCGGTTCTGGGTGTGGGAGCCGGTCATGGCCTCGTTCTGAGGGACACAGAGAAGATAGCAGAAACAGGGAGAAGCCTGTGTGATGCTGTAACAAAGAGCCGGTATGTGTACCTCCAGCAGCCTCTTCTCCCAGTGGTTAAGCTCCGTTCCTGCCCCCCCTTGGTTCTCCAGCTCCATCCCCTCCAAGATGGGACAGTTGAAATGCCTCCTCGCCTCCTCCTGCAGCCAGACAGGAACACACCTGAGTCAGGGCTGCAATATCTATTATTTTCATTATTGATTATAGCTGCAAGAATTAATCAGCAATCAATTCACCCTGTTAGGTTGGTTGTTTTTTTTCATGCAAAATTGCAATGCATTCAGATGTTCCAGAAAAATTATTTTTTAATGGAGGGAAACTGATTCCACCAGGATTCTACTTCTTCTTACCACAACACGGGGAGTGACGAGGACATGGACTTGGTGTTGGACCATCCTCCCTCCTCTGACGTCCCACAGTCTGCTGACACTCCTGATCACAGCCTCACTCCACTGGTACAGACCCAGGCTGGCACACACAGGTTTAACATAAGCAGCTGTAGACGGGCAGTGACTGATAACAGCAGAACCAACCACACCCATCTCACACCGTGATTCATTAGGCATGTGGACGACAGACATTAGCCTGGCTTTTAAACATAACCATTTCAGTCACTTCATACATACAGATACATCTGAGACACTGTACCACACAACAGCTGAATGATTATGACCACCTACACTGAACAGAACTGGATATAACATGTTGATAAATAAGCCAGTAGGTGGATTTTATTACCTGAAGACAGAACCAGGCTAGCTGTTTCTCCCCAGTTCCAGTCATTAAGATAAGCTAAGTGCTGTTGCAGCTTCATATTTACCGTACAGACACAAGAATGGTGTCAATCTGAACATCTAGCTTTCAGCAACAAAGTGAATGGATCTACAGATAATCATATTTTTACAATGAAGTGCAGCTTGCAGTGACTCATGTTTTGAGTGTAGTATAAAGGGTGGAAAATCTGTTCCATACAAAACATGAGTCAAACCGGCGAGCGGCCTGTCCAGAGCAAGGACCCCTCCCCCGATATGAAACACTGGTGGACATGTAAATACTGTCCACCACACACTGACACCACACCGTACTGATTTGCCAGTGTGTGACACTGCAGTCTGGGATGAGAGCACCAAGGAAGCACAGATGCACACAGGCAGACACAGACTGTGCTCACCTCTCGTTGAAGGCGGGCAGGCCGCTGGTGAAGCGAGGAGTCAGAGGTTTGCCGTCATCATCGTGGTAGAAGGCAAACAGACCTGCTGAAAACCCCTGGTGGACATAGGGAAAGGCAGCTTCAGAGACAACATCTAAAAGAACAGAAGCAACCACACACCTCCCGTCCTGAGCATGGCTGAAGACCAGTCACACCAGAATTCAGAACTGGGCAGCGTCCACATACAGTCCTGAAGTCAAAATTTGGTGCAACATATTTTTCTCTGCAGCACTTTGGCAGGCCACAGTTAAACACATGCACATTGACACAGCGGCACTAAACAAACATGTTGGACAAAGCCAGGACATTTGCATACAAAGTAAAAGCAAATAAATGCAGAGTCAGTGCTTTGGTTCAGTTTGGCTTTCAACTTCTGGTGGAATAAAGCTCTTTAAAACTTTCTAATGGATGATATTTCTCCAGATTCCAACAGTGCTGACACTGATTCATTTTATCCTGAGTTCTTAAGGGTTTTTGGACAAAGGCTGCAATGGTTTAATGACACAATAAGGCCTGATTTAAGTATGGATTTGAATTCATTCTTACAGCACAATCTTTCATTTCAACTCTTGATGAGAATGTCAACAATATGAAGATGTATCTAGTGAGGATTCATGTTAGTAACACTCCAGATTCATCAGAGACAGTTAAAGCCGAGCATCTTGGTCAGAAACTCTCCCAACATCAAGGAAAGCACAGTAGCTGTACTGACCAGAGCGTGGATGATCTCATGTTTGACGGTGGAGAGCATCCCTTCAAACTCCTGAGGCTGAGAGGAGATCATAGCAGGACACAGGTTGGCATAGCCTGCCACGGGTCTGCAAACACACACACGCACACACTTAGCTGGGAACATGCACACCAACTGGGACCACACCAGGTGTCAGGGTCAGAAATCATGGTGAGACAGTAAGGCTATGGTAACAAGGCACCACGATCAGCCACATAATTAGTACACATGATACACCGAGTCATTGTTATGCAGACATTACACAAGTGTGTATCTTCCTAAGAGCGTCACAGATTCTTGTAGTATGTCTGTAATGTTCTCCAGCCTAATGACTGAGATCAGTATGTTTGAGCAGTAAATCAGTGCTGGTGTTAGCTGCTAACCAGGTAAACCTCCTCTCTGTGCTCTTCTGCTGCACTGTGTGGTCATTCTGTAGGTACACAGTGAAGACTTACAGGACGTCATTACGGTCCTGCAACATCTTAATGAGAGTATAACGTGGTAAAATCAGCCCGAACCAAGGTGACACCACATGCGTCTCCCACCCCACCTGTCCAGCTCCGCCTCCAGCTGGCAGTAGGCAGCATAGGCCACGATGTTCTCCTGTCCGCAGCGCTCTGTGGTGATGCCGCTGATGTAGAGCACGAAGTCAGACCCCTCCACTCCGGGGCCATCTGGGGGGCCTGAGGCGCCACATGACTTCCCTGATTCACTGCACACTTTGCATTGCTACGAAAGGATAATATAATAAAGAATGAGATAAGGGAAACCTTTAAAAAGATTCAGAGACCAAAGTCTGAAGGTAAAACTTCTCCACAGTAAGGACGGGAAAAGCTTGTGGATCTAATGAAATAAGTCTGAGCTTCAGACTTTGGACTCAGAGCCTCACATGTTCAGCATTAAGAGGAGAGGACAGCAGGAGAGGCTGCAGCTCTATTATTAGCACCTGCCCCATGGCTACAATAACCACAATGAGATTAACATCCTGACAAAAACCTCCTTTCATCTCTGTAGCCTTCCACTCCATCCATCTCACCAGCTGCTTTAATCTTCTCTCTGTAACTCACTCATTCTCTTCAGGTCTCATTTCATCAGCAAAGACATGACATAAAATCTTAGTTAGCATTTATTTCAAAGACAAAAATGAGACTACAACTACATAAAACAAAAGTGAAAGCTATGACAATATGCTTTATGCTTTTCATCAATGATAACTAAACATTAATGTGGAAAAACAGTCAAATGGACAAACACAACGTCTGATGTAAAAGCCTGCACATACTTAGGGAATCACAAACTGAACTGACTGGTCTCTTTAGGCCAAACTGAAATAGTTCCACAACTGTTCCATGAAGAAATCTGTGGGTCATTCATGTTTCCCAGGACTTGGGAGATCATCTGAACCCTTCTCTGGCACCTTCACATGTGGTTTTTAGTGAAATATGATTCAGATGTTCATGATCCCCTCAGGGTTAACAGAAATAACTGTGGTGAGCCTCTGACATTTCCTCTAGCGCCACGTCAGCATTTTGCCAACACGTCTGTAGTCTCTTAATCTTAATACCCTTAATCTGTGGCGTTCACTGACCTGCAGGTGGTGCTGTGGCACGATGACGGGGCCGCACCGGGTGACATCTGCACAGGCACCCTGGCAGTAGCGATGGGGGTCATCTCTCTTCCTCAGGTACTGGTTGGTTGCACATTGTCTGAGGAGACACAACAAATGAAGAAGTTAAATTAATTAGCATCGTGGTTAGAAATGTTAAGGGCAACTAGAGGATGGAAAAGGCAGCAAAGACGGGAGTTAACCCCCAAAGTCTGACTGAACATCACCATTGTTTTCAGTGTGATAAGTGAGGACTGTGCTGTGTTGTTTGAAGCAGCAGCTACACCTGGAACCACACAACAGCACTCATGCATGAACATTTTAGTATTCATGTTCTAGATCTCTCCAGCTTTGTACCTCGAAGGGAAACCCCTGAGAAAACTGGTGAATGTAGGTCTATTCTTATGACTAGTGTGCAGAAAACCATCAGCTGTAGCTCAGAATTGGACATGGTGTGATGGCTACGTACCTGCTGAGCAGCACAGGGCCCACCCTGCGCCTCACACTGAAGGCCCTCTGCAGGTAGTCGATGGCCTGAGGAAACAGCTTGTCCTAAGGAGGAACACAGAGCAACAAGTGTTTCAGCCTGTTTCACCTCTAACTGCACCAAACACCACCGCTGACTGTAGTCACAGCTGTGCTCTGTGGCACCTGCAAACACACCCACCAGTGATGTCACAGGGTCCTGAAGCATACCTGTAGGTCTCTGCAGCCAAATTATTAATTTTGAGTGACTTGACTTGCTGAGTAATTGAATAATCATTGCAGAGCTGCATCTTACATCACACACACAACGTTCTCAGGTGCTCCTCACCTTCACCAGCCTCCTCTTGTCTGCAGGAAGCCTGTGGAGAAAGAGCACATCAGTCAGGGAACATCACTTACTGAACATAGTGTGGTGACACAGTGAGTACACCTGCTGCCTGAGTCACGGGCAGCTCTAAGCAGGTTTTTATGAGGGCGGTAGCACTATCAATCACAGTGAGCCTTGAGCAGTGATTGTCCTGTCTGCTTTGGTCTCTGTCCATGCTGACTGGTGAGCTGATGCAGCACTTACTGGTCAACACTGTAGTCGTAGATGATCTTTATCTTCAGCTGCAGGTCTTCAGGAGAGCTTCTCTTGGTCAAACGCTCAGGCTTCAAGTGCACATGATGGACAACCTGAAGGAGGTCCAGAAAAACAGTAAGACACCACAGACAAGTAGAGGCATTCAGGCACACTGGCTGTTGTGTACTTCAAGTTCAAGGAGTGGGTGATATGGATCAAATTTGTAGCTGTCACTTTACACAACACACAATATATTGAAATACAGTAAATTTTCAGAAATTACTTGCAGTTCAAGTAATCAGATTGGAGAGGCAATCTGTAACTAATCTGACAAATAATGGCACAACAGTCATAAATAAAGTACATAACCATTAATCAGTCACAGGAGCCACTTGCTTTTATTTTTGATATTTTACTTTATGCAGGATTTTAAATGCAGGTCTTTTACTTGTAAAATATATATTTAAAGGTTTTGGTGTATTTTCAACGTTATGTTTGCACAGATGACACTTTTACTTTGAAGAAACCCCCGGAAGTGTTTTTTGTTGCTGCTAAGGAAACATTTGTATGAAGAACATTTAAATCTGATGGAGTTGCACTTTGAACACAATGCCTGTATTTTAAATGTGCCAAGAACAGACTGAACATTGCGGCTATTGTCGTTAAACACAGTAAATCCTATGAGCAGGAAAGTAGCATCATGCTAGCCTGCCAGCTAGCTAACAAATCCAACGTTAGCTAATTTCAATAACTGATAACTAGGGGAAAATGAACGTGCTAAAGTATTGTTTTACGTTTGACGTTAGCGCATAAACAACATTTACACATCGCCGAAAATGTGGAGCAGGACACAGTAAAGTGCTTATCCTATCGCACAATGTCAGCACACTTAATTATCCACCGCGCCTAGCATGAAATCTAGCTTAGTCGGCGCTCACCTCATTAGGAGACGGCACTCGGTGTTTGCAAGTCCCATGGCAGCTCACTAACACAGCCAGGAGGGAGAAGACAAGGACAGGGCCGAGGCACCCGGACACAGACGGCTTGCCATCCCCGCTGAGCCTCGGCTCCATCCTCCGACCCGCGTGATGAGCGGGGCTCGACAGCCCGAAGTCAATAGAACCTCCGCCGGTCCGGTCCCATCACTGCTCGTTGCATTCATCGCTTGCAGGCTGAATCAAAATAACGTCAGCATCCCGGAAAGTACCGATCGCTAAATCTCAGGAGAAAGGTTGCAGTGATGGGAGTAACACCAGCCGGTAAAATAAAAACGTGCAGTGACAGCTGCTGCGGTACGCCCGCAGATGTCGAAGAGCACAGCACTGCAAAGATCGTCTGTTGGTAAGATGTGTCACTCTCACCGGAAAGTACAGTAGGCTACGTGTGTCTTTTTGTGGGATCAGCCCGCAGGGAGACTGCGGTGAAAAATTCGTTGTGTAGCCCTGTTGATCCCCTTTAGGAATTTGCACGTGTTTAAAATATGTATGTATTTTATATGTAAAAAAAGGCATGTGTGGTAAAGGGGTCATGTGTCGGCTGAACATGCGTTAGACTTTTTAAAGATAAAGTATGTTAGGTAATTCATCTGTAAACAATAAAGCTGCTGTCCACAATCCCTCAAATAACAGTATTCTACATGGCCCGTCTTCTTCTTCTTCTTCTTCTTGGAGCAGGTCAGCAGAGCTTCTCACTTCTTGTTAGTGTGTGTCCGATGCCTCCCACACTGTGACGGCCAGACAGAAAAAACAGAACCACGAACTTCAGAGAGACCAGCTGAGATGTGATTCATGTGGAGGCTCCAGTAAGCAGTCCCAGACGTGACTACTGAAAGGCTGCGTTGTCTGTCTGATTACATTCATCCTTCTTTCCACTGTTCTTCTTCGACTTCGTTCATAAAATACAAATTTCACAGTGTAGCTAAAACTTGAATATCAGACTTGAATCTCCTGTTCAAAGTCTGTGAGCCGAGCTGGGTATTGGATTAGCTTTACCACAGTGTTATTGGTTTAGCTTCTAAAAAAATTATTTACTTATTTTTGTTTTGTTACCTTGCTGCTTATACTATCTTGGAAAAACAAATAAATATAATTTTAAAAAGCAGACATTACTTCGGTTTACTTCAGTCATCAGTGTTTTCTCATGTTCTCATCTCATAACATGGGCAGAAAGGCAGAATCATTAATCGTTAACTGATTACAGAAAACAAACTTTATTACACAACAAACAAGAGCTGGTGATCCTGAAGTGCTTTTCTGTATTTGTGTTTTGCATTTGTATTCAGAAATTTATAAACATTAAGGATACTGGAGGTTTGCTTGCTATTATTACATCTCAGGAGCACCAACATAACTACGTGTATGTGTATATCCACATATAACTGAGTATTTGGCGGGGATTGTGTGCTTTAAAAAGATCACACCAGATATTCACTGTTTAGACCAGTGACTGTAACAACAATGGACAGTGCTGCCACCACGCCCCCTGGTGGCTAGTTGCAGTACAGGTCATATACGCCGCCCCCTCTATGTTAGTGGATGGGACATGAGCTACACTAAAAAATTACAAAAGTACACATCAGATACATTTTTCCCAGAGATTATTTCTGTGGTGTTTGGTAGATATTATCAGGCTGATGTGGTTACAAGTGGTCATTTTTCTTTCAGGTTTGTTTTAATAAATTATTTGATGATGTAAAAAGAGGTGTATTTTGAGCTCTATTTCAGACTGACAGCTTTGATTGCTGTCACTCCACTTGGTTGCTGCTGCGCAGAATCTGGTTGTAAAAAAAGCAAGATGGCAGCCACTGTATTTATGATATTTTGGCTTCACTTTTGCATAGTGGAGGGAAGTGGTGGTGGCGTATTCATCGTATATAGAGTCAGTAGTGGCACAGCGGAGCCAGTATTTGTGATGATTTGTTTAACCCGACAAATACCTTCCCCATAGCAGGAGAGAGCTCCTTCTCCTGTTTATAGGTTACAACAAGGATAATCATAGTAACTATTAAAAAATAAGACCATAACAAATTAGAGACCAGCTCCAACAGGATAAAACCTTTTCATACAACAGAACTGTCTCTGCCAGCAGAACTGTGATTTCAGGTGAAGCCGACTGTTCACTTTTGTACAGTAGCATGAAGTGGTGATGTGCCATCCACAGGCTGTGGTCTGGACCAAAGCAGAGGTCTAACCAGAGCTGCCAGTGTGGCTAAACACACCAGACAATGTGCTGTGTTCTCTGCTTTATTTCATTGTATATCTTTGGGTTTTGATCTGGATCAAAACTACTGAACTGAACCTTTTCTGATACTTTACTGAAGTTAATTGTTTACAGATTCTTCAGCATTGAAAATAATCCTTTACTGAACATGTTCAATGTTCCTCTGGCAGAGTAAATGCAGCCAGCAACAGGCTCACACCACAGAGCCAGTGTAAACCAGGGAATCATGGGATACCTCTGTACCGTCTCTCACTGGCTGAGGAACCTCGATGGAGGCAGAGGAGGAGGGCGAGGAAGCAGCAGTGGAGAAGGAGTGACTCTGGTCTGGTGAGTCCTTGTCTCTCTGTTCATCCTCCTCTCTGTCAGTGTCTGGCCTCAGTTCCTCCTCCTCATCCCGCTGCAGGGCGTTGAAGCGCTCCACCACGCAGTGAGTCGTCAGTCTGGCCTCAGGGTCGTGATCCCAGCACTCAGTGATGGTGGAGCAGAAGACACTCATCCCCTGGAGGAGAGAGGATCGGAGTTAGACAGCAGACAACCAGTGAGCACCCAGTGGAGTTATCTTAAACACTGGGAACACACGGTGACAGCAGAAACTCTATTCTCTTTGTTTTACTGAGTGAATCAAACAGAAGCTGTAAACAAAAGATTCCCAGTGGAAATTAATGCCACTGATTAAACCAATCAACTGAAAAATTGATTGGAGGGCATGTGATTGGCTGACAGGTGAGAGGATGTCCTGAAGCAGTTCGGTTTCATTTCAGTTTATTCACAAGAGTGTTTATTTTTTATGTTAACATTGAACACGCTGGGGATCAGGATGGAGACAGACGTCATTAAATGCAGTAAGAGTATGAGTTTCTCCTGGTTTAGAAAGAATAAACGGGGTGGCTGTGTCCAACCTGGTGCTGCGTCCACACCGATGGGATCTCGGGCCGTCCTCGGTCCCTCAGGACCAGGTCTCTCATACTGTCCACGCAGGGCTGCTCACACACCTGGGAGCCAAACGCTGGCTCGTAGCTCCTCACCTCTGCACCAACAACACACACACAGTCACACATTACCTCCAGTGTCAGTGCAGCTGCAGTTTGTTATCATGTAATGTAACATTAAGGCTGTGGATAGGAAGGCAGGGATGGTACTAATGCTGAATGCGAATGTGAATAAGGGCCCAAAAGTGCAATGACAAGTGCAGAGTGTAAGTTCTTGGACTGTGTGGGCGTCTCCACCTGCTGATTTGGTTCATGTAGGTGCAGCAGTGCAATGTGTAAGCAGCTGGTGAATATACATCAGAAAATGACATTTCCTGGAGAAGGCCGGGATGATGTGAACACGGCACCACAATCCCAAGCCAGAAACAGATGAGTGGGCCTTTATGTCATTTGTACAGTGATGATAGCAACTGTTAAAAATGTTTACAAAGCCACTTATAAGACTGCATGACCTGCTGTTAACACATTAAATGTTTATTTTTATGCAGATGTAAAAGCATCCACAGCTGGAGAGCATATACTGAAAATGTTTAACTTGAACTTTATTTCACTGTCTTTTCCACCAAAATACTAAAACCTGGTCCTGCACTGGGAACCAAAAACTGTTGGCATGAAAATAAAGGACAGGAACAACAGAATGCCCCTACCTCCGATGGCGTGGCAGCGGGAGGCCATTTCCCACAGGACCAGAGCCATGGAGTAAACATCCATCTGTTTAAAGGCCTCGAGGTCCTCCAGGTTCACCCTGGACTCCAGCACCTCAGGAGCCATGTAGCGAGCTGTCCCCACCTGGACAGGATGACACAAGTTGGACCAGAACATCACACAGCAGTTCTGCTTAATGACACCTCTCACTTCTGAACCTGAACACTTTACCTGTCCACTGTTGGCATAGTCGTCCACGGTGAGGGAGAGGTCCAGTCTCAAGGCCAGACCAAAGTCACACAGAGCACACTCAGTCTGGCTCTTTACCACGATGTTACTGCTTTTTAGGTCCCGGTGGGCAACTGGCACCTACAGCAACACAGGCAACCAGCAACAAGTGCTGTCAACAGGCTGACCCACATCACATCAATGTTATCATGGCATTAAAAAGTTACTACAAGTTGTTATCTGGACCATAGATATAGGTCAGCAGGGCTCTGCTGCACCTCGTGGTCAGCACAGTAAGCTGTCATCATGTACCAAACTTCTGTTGTCATAAGAAGCTGAGTGTGCAACATTTAAGCACAAAAACTAAATGGTTAGACACCAGTTACTGGTTGGAAACAACAAACAACCAGCCGCCTCAATACATCTGAGAGTCAGATGTGCAGTATGTAATGCTAGTCTAGTGCAGTTAGCATAAGAGGAGCACAGTGAATATAAGATGAGCGCAAAACAACAAATATAGTCCTGGTCAGAGAAGCTGGATTTCCACAGATTTACCTTTGGTACCCCTCTGGCTGTTGTGTCACTGTGGAGATGAGCTAGCCCTCTAGCGATGCTGCCTGCCATGGCAACAAGATCCTGCCAGCTCAGTATGTTTGCAGTGAGGAAGTCCTGCAGGTTTCCAAGGCTGTGGTAGTCCAGAACCAGCCAGTAATTTATGAGTGCCTGACTAGGTGGACCCCTCTGTTCAGCTGCCAGGAATCGAACAACATTTTCATGCTCTAGTGAGGGGTCCGAGAAGATGGAGCACTCGTTTCTCCATGAGGCATACTCTACAGCTGGAAAGACTTTCACTGCCACTGTTTCATAACTGTTATCTCCACCCTTCTGTCCCTGTAGCAGGGATGCCCTCCACACCTCAGCGAAGCGCCCCTTCCCCACCAGTACTTCCAGTTTGATAGGCAGTAGTTCAGCCATTTGGCCCAAGCAGTCTGTGATGTCACTGATGATGTTGTTGTCAAGAGATGGCCTCTTGACATTATATCCATCCCTTTCAGATCCAGGACCTGTCACACCTCCTCCTCCACCCTCCCCCTGAGCCCCCAACCCCCCACCTGGCAGGTCCAAAGCCTGGTAGAGCTTTGGGGCACATTTGGTGGTCCAGTCAGAGCGTGCAGGAGGGCCCGGTTTATCAGGGCTGTGGGTGCGGTAGAAGTAGAAGGCAGCGATGGCAACTGTGGCCACCAGGACAGGAGGCACCAAACTCACCACCACCACTGGGATCATGTCCTTACTCTGCACCTTGGAGTAACCTGCAGGAAGAGGAAATACTATGCATCCATCATCTGTCCATCAGCCAATTTATCCATCCACCCACCCAGCCAACAATTCTTTCATCCATACATTCATTCCTCCATACACCCAATCAGCCCACCACCTATTTACCAGCCCCCCCAATCTGTTCACCGTTTGCTCCCTTGTTGAAGATCAGTTTGTCGTTGCACTCATGGTCTCCCCGGCAGCCACAGACCATCATGGCTCCGTCCTCTGCTGGCTGAGGGACCATATGACACTCTCTGGAGGTGAAGTTCAGCAACAGGCCTGGGTCTACGCCCTCTAGAGGCTCACTGGGGTGGTGACACATGGTGTGCACCATCATGGTGTTGTTGGTCTTCCTCCTGCAAACACATTTAAAGCAAAATAACAAGTGTCTGTCACCAAACACTGTCACTGTGATGGAGTCATTCAACATCTAAAACCAGTTTGACCCAAAAGGGCTGTGACATCATCACTTGGAACTGCATTTTTCCACTGCCTAAGTACTAGAGATGTGACAGAGTGACCTGATGTGATCGGCACCTCCACACTGGCTGTTTCACAGCATTTCCTAGTTGATTACACTGATTTTATGCAGAAGACAGTGACTGAGACAATAAATCTACTGGGAGCAGTGCTGGTTGTACAGCCTGACAGCAGCAGGAAGGAAAGATCTGCAATAACACTCTGTCACACACTTGGGGTGAAGCAGCCCACTGGTGGAGGTACCCAGTGCTGACAAAGTCTCGTGCATGGGGTGGGAGCTCTCCAGCAGGGATGTCAGCTTGGCTAGCATCCTCCTGTCTCCCACCACCTGCACTGGGTTGAGGGGGCCTCCCAGGACAGAGCTGGCCCTCTTGACCAGTTTGTCTAGTCTTTTCCTGTCCGAGGTTTTCCTGACCCAGCAGACCACTCCATGGCTGATGCCACCACTGTGTCGAAGAAGGTCCTTAGGAGTGTCCCCTGCACTCCAAATGACCTGAGTGTCCTCAGCAGGTAGATCCTGCTCTGGCCTTTGTTTTAAAGTGCCTCAGCATTATTAGACCAGTCCAGTTTATTGTTGAGGTGAACACCCAGGTACTTATAAGTGTCCACTCTCTCCCTGTCCATTCACTGGATATTCACTGGTGTTGGAGGGGAATGTCTGGGCCTGCAGAAATCCACCAGCTCTTTGGTGTTCTCTGCATTGATCTGGATTCGGTTCCACAAACACCAGTTCACAAAGTCCTGGATCAGTTCTGTTTAACATCTGTCACATGAATAAAGAACACTGGGTCTAAAGTTTACTGTTCAGTGAGCTCCTGCCGCCTGATCCCTGTCAATCTGGACCTGAATAAACCAGCGTTTTCCACTCCTCTCTTCTCTTCCACTTCTCTCTTATCGCTGTTTTCCTGCAGAAAGCTGGGTGGGTCGGGCCAGCTGACATGAACAGGAAATGAGAGGAGTGCAGCAAGGGGGATCCCAGCACTGCTGTCCAAACAAAAGCATGAAGCACAGGAACTTTCCAACCCTGAAGACAGTGATCCCTGAGGACTGTGAGAGGGTTTGAAGCTACAGAGGCTCATCCTGCTCTGACACTGAAAACTGCTGTGAGCTGTTCAGATCCAAAAGGCGGAGAACAAAGAGTGGTCATGATTTTTCCTACAACAGTAGCAAGTTGAGAGAAATGGCTTCAAGATGTTTTAGGAAGCTGATCAACGACATAGTGATGCGGCTGAGCTGCACTGTGGTGTGCAGGCTCCTGGGGCTGTGCTGCAGGAAAACACTGAGCATGGTAACACACCAGACTTGTACTGGACACTAAAAAGGCTTCAGCACAGTTTTTATTTGTTCTTTTGGATTTGACAAGAGCAGTACCATGACCCAGTGGATGACTCACAGCACCAAACAAAAGACAGAACAGAACACAAATTAAAGGGCAAACACTTGGGGTAATGAGGAGCCTCCATGCCAAACATACCTGCTCAGATTCTTGTTATCATGACAAACCTTTCCTATTAATGGTTCATAAATTGTTCTATAACAACAGGTCACTTTAGGGTGTTACCACAAAACTCTCAGTATTTGACAGATTTCTCTTGCTGTGACATGTTAAACTGCTACACCACAGTTTGTTTGAAAGCTGGTCAAGGTTTTTTAGTCTGCGACAGAGGACTGATGCTGTCACACCAGTGGAACAAATGGAACCAAACAGGAAAACTGTATCTTCTAATGCAGGCTGACCACATGTCATGGACCTTTGTATCACTTATGTCTGTAAGAAATAAGAATCCATCCCTCTCTGAGCACGGGTGGTGCAGCACCTAGTATGTTTAGTCACTGAATTAAAGGGATACAGTCCCAGGAGTGGATGTGGTTTAAATGCACGTACTGTCTGTCCACGACGGCCTACTCACCATATGGCAACACAGATTTCCTCAGTGACAGTGCAAAAGGACGACAGGGAGCAGTTACTGATGCAGACGCTGTCCTTACACGTCGGGCTGGACATCTCACACCACTTACACAGGTTGAAGTTCAGGTGGCTGAGAGACTGGACAACAAGGGGAAGACCTGCAGAATAAATGAGAGACAGGGCAGGTAAGGTAACCACATTTCTGGAAGGCACTGCTGTCAGATCAGAGAACACTTACACAGTACATATTGTTCTGGAGGGAATTCAACTTTCATTTGGAACAATTTAGACCTGTAGTCCAGGTGGGATCTGATTACTGTAACTTTTAACTGGAATAGATCAGTTTAATGTGATTCTGTATGTTTTAGCTGAGTCCCAGGAAGAATGAAGCTGGCCGAGGGCCCGAGGTCTAGACTTACAGCCTGTCGTTTTTTTCTGAAAGTGACCTTTGTAGCCTCGGTAACATCCTTACCATTTCACCGTGGACAGCTCAGACCCCAGTGAGGCTGTGTGGATGCTGCGAGCGGACAGGACTGTTGGAGGAAGTAACATCACTTTGTGTGAGTTACGTAACAGATGTGGAGTTGTGCACGGTGTACATACATGGACAGGCAAGTGAATGGGCCTGCAGGGTGCACAGTCTTTGTGTGTGACTGTCAGTATTAATTGTTGGAATCAAATGACCAGAGAGAGAAACAGAACAACCACACAGTGGCATAACATGACTCTAAAGACATGTACAGTACTATGATCCAACACGTACACAAAGACACTATATGACTACAAAGAATAACCACAGAGAGATGCATAGCAACTCCACAGAGACAAACTGAGCCCTCAGAGACACAGACATACACCAGATGGTGTGTTGTCGTCTGCAGTCCTCTTGTGCTTCTTTCCACAATCAGTCCACGTGCACACACAGTATAATGATAACCATTCCTTTATTAGTCCTGCATGAGGACATTTCACACTGATGGCAGCACTGTCCAGCCACCAGGAGCAACCTGGGGTTCAGTGTGTTGTCCAAGGACACAGTGACATGTGGAGACCAGAAATCGAACCGCCGACCTTCTGGTGAAGAAAGGAGTGCTCTACCTCCTGAGCCACAGCCGCCCCAGCTAAAACCACTGTGTGTGTCTGTGTGTGTGATGCTCTGCTACATCACAACAAGTCCAGTGATCAGACACAGATGACACAGCTCAAGCAAAACAACACACACACACACACACACACACAGTGCTGGTTTTAGTTACAGGGAGTGTTTTGCTGCTCCAGCACTTTTAGTTTTCTTCTTCCTTTGTCTTCAGCTCAGTTTGGAAAGAAAAAAAACATCTGGAACAACTTCTGGTGCATGTGTGTGTGTGTTTGTACAGCTCTCTTTGTGAGGACCACTTTTAATTTTAGACCTTGGAAGTGAGGACATTTTGCCGGTCCTCTGACCTTCTAAGGGCTGCTTGATGGTTCAGACCTGGCTTTAGGGCACTGCATGGTGTGAGTGTCCTCACAGAGACAGTAAGACATTCACAGTAGTATAATGGAGCCTCGGCATGTGTGTAACAGTTGTGTATGTTTTTGTGATGAGACAGTGTGTGTGTCTCTGTAGGAATAGAGTGAAGCCAGCACTGAGCTGCTTTCTCAGCCAAATTAATATCCACTGCTCCACCCTCAAAGCCTCATGAGAAATCGAAGCACTCCCCTCTCAGAACATACACACACACATACACATCTGCAACCTCATGAGTTTATGCCCACGCACTAAAGCTCTGGATGCTTTCAGTCGCTTTAAAGGAACAGTTCCACATTCTGGGACACGGGGTTATTGGCAAACAGTAAAATGCTGCCATTCTCATATGAAGCCACATCCAGCAATCCAGCAGCTGTTAGCATAAATACTAGAAACAAGGGGAAACAGCTAGTTTGGCTCTGTCCTACCATCAAAGGTGAAGCTGGACAGACACGGTGTTAACACACAATATGAAGTCACTACACGTTGCACAAACAGAAGCTCAGACCTTTTTGCTCCACTGATCGACCACGGCGTGGAGGTCACACTGGATGATAGCACTGAAGCCCTGACTGGTCATACTTTGTGTAACTCAACTATGAATGTGAAGTAGGAAGATAAAGAAAAACCTGCAGCTGCATAAAAATTGGGCAGTCTGGTCTCTGTTCTGCAGAACAGCAGCTTTGAGACTACAGTTCATACAACATGCGAAATCAGTCCTCCTTGATGAAGGTGGTCTCATTCAATTGTTGTTCAAACAGTTTGAACGAGGTGTTTCTGAGGCTAAATAACAGAACCCGCTCTCAGGAGAAGCCAGTCCACATGGACAGCATGTTCACAAAGGAGGATTCACCACAGGACTGTTGGATCAGACTGACTCACTCTGAGACAGGGGTTCCTAATAAACTGAGCTTTTTCCCACAGTGTAACTATTGAATCCAACACACACCATGAGGTCAAACACACACAGTGTGTAGATTTAATGTGGAGGTACTTTTACAAAGGTTGGGTGGGATTTTCTGGTTGCTGCCTGTTGGTGACCCTCCTCTGCCACAGTGTGAATGGGAGACAATCACACACTGTTCCTCTTTGTCTGTTCATGTCACTTCAGCTTAAAAGAAGAAAAGGAAAAGCACCTGTTGCTCAGCTGTTTATTTGAGTGTTAGCTCCAGTGCTAACTCAGAAGCGTTAGCTTTGTCTCTTTTTTGTAGCAGTTTACTGGCAGCATGGAAGGATTACTGAAGGGGTCCACCGGGCACAGACTCAGGAGACCAGGTGGTCAGGGGGCCCCTGTGAAGTCTCTGTTCATGTTTTTTGTTGAAAAGTCAACTCAAACAAATACAAGAAGATGCACAACAAGTAAGAGACACAAAAGTAAGACAGTCCAGCTGATCAAGGTACAGTAAGTGGGTACCCCTGTGGCTGAGTGTGTGTCAGGGGCAGAGCTGGAGGGAAAACCTGGGCACCCGAGAGACTGACATTGGAAAACATGGGCTGGAAACAGAACCTGGAGTGGACTCCTGGCATTCGGGGGTTTGGGGAAAACAGACCGGAGCTGCCAAGCAGAGACTGACCCTGTGGTCAGTGCTGACCTGGAGCTGAGGTGCTGGAGCACCCTTGTCTCCAGGGAGCCGGTGTGTTGTTGTGTTACTGTGGTGTTACACTGTATGCTCCTGCTGCCCACTACAGACCTATACTTTTTATAGTAGTGCAAGTTTCCCAGATGGCTTCCAAGAATACACAGTACTATGTCCAGTAGTACTTGATCTGTGCCGTTTGGATTCACATCCTCCAGCATCAACAACACAGCAGCATGTAATCCTTTTACTCCAGTAACAGTTAATACAGGAATTGAGCATTTTTACACTGTGGTACTGCTGCTTTAACTTCAGTAAAAGGTCTGGCTATACTCCATCGATCATTGTCCAGCCCAGAGTTAGAGTAAAATTCAGTACTTACTACTGTGATACTTTAACTACATACGCTGAGCATATTTGTGTACTGTGAAACTTACTTGTGTACTTTCACTACTTATACTTTAACGAGAAGAAAATGAGAATAGTCTACTTGCGTACTATTACTGTGATACTTTATATGAATCCGTTACTCCTACTTTTGTAAGTCTTGAAACCAGGACTGTTACTTGTAGACTAGTGCTGTATTTTTTTTACTCTGTTATACTTCTACCCCTCAGCCCGGCCCTCCAGACCTTCGCCAGCAGCTGCGAGGAGAAGAGGGGAATCGCCCGAGGACCGGGCAGCACTCACCGGCCGTCAGCAGGACGAGGGTCGCGGGCCAAACCGCCCCGCATCGAGCCATTGTTTGCGGCGCAGTCAGCTGGAAACACGGGCGCTCGGTCAGTCAGTCCGTCGGTCGATCCTCAGCACGGAGACTCTGATGTAGGCAGCGACAGCAATACAGATGTTTTTCATCCAGATGTGGTGGAGCCCCGCCCACCGCTGCTGTTTCCACGGGTGTCTCCTCTCACCGCGGCTCCGACTTTGACTTATTCACATTACCAGTGCAAAAGTTAGACTGGCAACTCCATAACGTTGAACTGGAACAATGAAGTTATTTTAAAAAATGAAAATCCACAGATGGCAGGAAACACCCCGGTGTTTGTCTTTAACAAAGGCGCAGTGAATCGGATTAAAGGTAAATAGTGGAATTTCGTGCCTGAACATTGGAGGAGATTATTTTTGCAGTAAACATCTTTGCTCAGAGCCACGTTTACTGTTTTGCTTAGAGCCTGTTAATGCCCCATAGATGTTTTAAGGCAGTCTCAGCAGGCCCAGTGACATTAATATTTATATCATCTTAACAAATGCTTGTATTATTTTCTGAAATGTTACAGCACAAATTCAGAATATTTCTGATTTGAGTTTTATTTTTAAAAAGAGGAAAAAGATATTGAAATGAATCAGAAGGGGCACAAGACATATTTATATGTGCCAAACCCCATTAACTCTGTGGTTATGTTTGAGGCCTTAACGCTGCATTTATGACGTCTCTTCTTACGTTTGTTGTTTTGTCTGTGAGGTGAACTTGTTGGTGTTATCATCATTAGTAGTAGTATTAGTATTCATAATAATAATAATAAAAAGTGAATCCCAGGCCACACTTCATAACAAAACAGGACAAAACAAGAAAGTGATTTTATTCTGAAAATAAAGACGCCGGAAGTTGTCGCCTCTGGTGGATAATAAAAAACATAAATATTTTAAATAAAGTCCTTGATTGGGGCAAACTAAAACTAAAAGTAGAGAAAACCAGCCGGGGTCTGGTGTTTTTGATGCGACACTAAACCAACGCGCCGGTGAGCCTCCAAAGACAACAGGTCTTGCGCAACGCCGGCATGACCGCAGTGGACTTTGACCCGGACTTGCGGACTGTGCGGGTTTTCCGGCGTTCCCGGCCTCAGTACGTGTTCCGACATGCAGAGGAGACTCCTGCTGGTGTCCAACTCCACCCTGCACGGCAGCGGCTACCTGGACCACTGTCAGCAGCACATCTCACGGTTCTTCGGGACGTAAGTTTGGTGCAGCCGCGTTCATTCACTGAACAAACCAACAGCGAATTTCGTTCAGAAATGGGCCATTTAAACATTTTTCCATGTTCGTTAGCAAGCACGCACACACACACTGTAAAAGGTACCACATTTAAGACAAACACGTCTTTATAGAACATGTAAATAACAGCAAAGCTTAACGAGCGCTTCCTGGTGTCGTGTGCGTCTGTTCTTGTGTCCCTTCGTGTGCCAGAAATGTGAAGAGGGTCCTGTTTGTTCCATACGCGCTCCATGACAGAGACGCGTACACCAGAACAGCCAGGGACAAGCTGAAAACCCTGGGTAGGTGTGCGACGGCGTCAAGACGATGTAGACGGAGGACGCACCGTGGTTGTGTCCCTCTGGGCCATTCGACAACCAACATCACGCAGACGCTCTTGACCTCTCTATTTGCCTTGTTTAAACTATTTGCCTTGTTTAAAGTATTTTCTAGGCGTTTTCCCGGTCTTCTCGTGTATCTTCTGTATTTTTCGGTGTAGCTTCTGTGTTTTTCTGCACATTCTCAGTATCTTTTTGGGTATGTTCGTCCTGTTTGTGTGACCCGTCCATGCGCTGTGACTAAGCTGAACGGTGACTGGTCCCTGCAGGTTACGAGGTGGACAGCATCCATGAGGCCTCGGACCCCGTCGATGCCGTCAGGAAGGCTGAGGCCATTTTTATAGGTGAGGAGGCTCTGTTTCCTTGTGTTCTTATACCCTTCTTTTTCTTGTTTACTGTAGTTCCTCCTGCCTTCTAGCTCCTTGTCAGCCTGTTCTGTCAGTTTTGTGATGTGTTAATGGGCATGTGTGTTTCACAGGAGGAGGAAACACTTTCCGCCTGCTGAAGAGTCTCTATGACAACCAGGTGGTGACGGAGATCAGGACGAGGGTCCTCCAGGTGACGCACCCGCACTCATTATCTTTCTATAGCTTCCAGACACGTTACATCTGTTTTTCATAGGGAGTAGGGTTGTCTGGAACACACTCTTACATCCCTCCCTCACCTCTCATCACTGCCCCTCCCTGCTCCAGGACGGTGTCCCCTACCTGGGCTCCAGTGCCGGCACCAACGTGGCCACCGTCAGCATCAACACCACCAATGACATGCCCATCGTCTGCCCTCCGTCCTTCGCCGCCATTGGTCTCGTCCCCTTCAACATCAACCCACACTACCTGGACCCCGACCCCCACAGCCGCCACATGGGTGTAAGTCAGGAGACACTGTCATGGCTCTAATGTAATATGATGCCAAAAGGCATTATGGGTAACGTACCTGGAGCCAGAGCAGGAGGACAGAGTCAGTTTAAACATCCGAGTCTGTCCTGAGTGTCTGTGGGACTCCAGCTTCTCCCCTGGTTTCACGTCACTGTTCATCCAACATTTCACTAAAACCAGAGTCTAGAAAGAGGAGGGAGTCAGGGTGTGAAAGTAGGATGAGTACTGGTATTGACAGCTGTGGGTACTGACAGCGCGTCTCCACTCTGCTTTATATTCCCTCTGTGTTCTGGAGCTGCTGGAGGCCCTAGTAACAAACAGGACTGAGATGACGAGTTGACACCACAGGAACCTACAACAGTTCTAATAATCAAACAATCTTTTGAGTTGTTAGTTGTTTTCCAAGCAAAAGCAAACAACACGCTTGTCCCAGGTTGTGCAGTTTGGTATTAAATCACTGTCAGCTGAATATGTTCGAGGTTGATGGACATTTGGTGATGTTGTTCAGGACTCTGGGGAACTGGGATGGGCCCTTGTCACAGTTTTCTGTCACTTTGGACCAAACAGCCCATCAGTTAATTGAGAAAATCCCATCTGGATTCATTGGTAACACAGAGAATCACAAGCTGCATTTGTAGATACAATGTAAAAACTCTTAAATTCAGCTCATGCTTCTCTGCCTAACCACAGTGCACTGACTGATGACAGTGGTGTACAGCTGTTCAGGAGGGCGGGTCTGCTCCATTACACATCATATCAGTTTATCAGTTATCAGCGTTCCTGAGCTTTTATCTGTTGGGTCAAAGACAAACTATGGGATGGAATAAATGACCAAAGTCTGATTTGATATGTTTTAATCTCAACAACTGGCACACGTTTACTACTATTAATAATAAAGTATACTGTATTTGTCTCAAACCAGTTACCAATAGTTTTACACCAAACACACACTAACCAGTGTACAGCCATGCTAACAGCTCTGTGACGCTGTAGCTCAGTGCTAATGATTAGCAGGTATGTTTACCATGTTCACCAGCTTAGTTTAGCATTGTAGCATGCTAACAGCTGCTAATCAGCCGTAAACAGCTGAGGCTCATGGGAGTGTCAGTAGCTCTGCAGCTGTTTGGTTGTAGGCCAAAGTGTCAGACACTTTAAAATGTCAAGTTGATGGTGGCGCTAGAGCAGAAGCCAGAGGATCATCTAAGGTATCTGGATCAATACTGAAAAGGAATGACCAGTGGGCCAGCTGTGTTGGTTTTCACTTTATTTAAAGGGCTGATGATATTTTACAGCTTGAGGAAGTTGGGCAACACAGAAGCTGTGCAAACTGCAGCGGCCAACAAATAAAACACCGCATCAGCAAACAGAACTAGTCGGTTTGTGCCAGATCCTGACATTTGACAGTTTGGAGGTTGCAGACTGAAAACACATTGTAATTAGAACTGCAACTGTTGATTGGTGTCTTTACTGATCAGGTGTATTGTTCATTGAACCATTTCCACCATAAACTGTTAAACAGTAAGGGAAAATAAGTTCAAACTGAAAATTTTGTCCGGAACCCAAACATCTCTGTGACAAACTGAAACTCCTCACACTGGATGTCTGCGACCAGTGAATAGCTTCACTAGTGATTGATTATCCAAATAACAGGGAGCAATCTTCTATTGATGTGATTATCCTGCCTTTATTCTGAACTGTTCCTCTGGTGTGTTGCAGGAGACCAGAGAGCAGAGGATCAGCCAGTACCATGAAGAACCTGACACTCCATGTGTCCTGGTGAGGCCCAGACCAGTCCACACCATCGATCCCCACGCTGACGCAGGCTGTCAGTGTGAACAGGGCTTGTAGTTGTCGGTTTCCACCTGGTGTTACTGTACATGCTCCCAACAACCTGTTTGTTTAAAGTCTCAGCTTGAATTAGATCAGGTTTGCATGAGTTCAGAAGACAGAGACATGTGAGACAGAGTTAACACACAGGCTCAGCTGTGGTCATGTGCTGCTGCTGCTGTTCACTGCAGCCGCCATGTTGGTACAGGGAAGCCTCCTAATGCAGGTCTCTGTCTGTCCACAGTTACTTTCATCACAACTCGCTGCATTCAGCTGCTTGGTCTGTTACAAATGTAGGAATGTGTTTATTACACGTTAGACTAAAATGAGGCTTTTCATATCAAACACTATCTCCAGCTGGGAATAAATACAGACTTGGGTAACAAAAGAGACATGACTGCAACAGACACTAAAGTTAAAAGATCATTAAATGCAAGTAAAAGTAGTAAGTACACTGTTGGGCGGCTGTTCTGTCCTTAATGACATTTGTCACTTTGTTCACGTCTTCAGGGTCTGCGGGAGGGGTCCATGCTGCTGGTGGAGGGACACAAAGCCACTCTGCTGGGAACCACCAAGGCCAGACTCTTCACCAGGTCAGTCCACTGATATCCTGAGCGCACACCAGTAACACCGGTGAGCGACAGCTCTCCCGTTTGACTTGTTTTGTTGCCACATTGCAGGGAGAAGCCTTCGGTAGCGACCTGAGCTCCCTGCTGACAGACACACACTGACCAGTCAGACAGAAACAGGACAGGAAGGTCACACCATAGCCACCGGTGTCTCCGCTGCTTCATGGTGATGTTGTGGATTCAGACTGTTGTTCTGCTCAAAAGAGAATAAATATCTTAACATCCACTGTGTCTTTGGGAAGATGTTGGAGTCCTGATGAATGCTGTGATTCTGGTCTTCTGTTAGTGTCTGCATCAAGGCCACATGTGCACACTCCCAGATGTTAGTACTAGGCTTCCCTGAGATGCAGTTCAGCATGTGGCCAGTGGGGGGCAGAGTGTCAGGTCAGCAGCAGCGTTTGGTTCAACACAACAGGGTTTAGTCTGAGAAACAAAAATCACAGAGCTTGTCCAGCTGCTGTTCCATCTAGGATGTGGGCAGTGTTTGTCTACAGGTGTCAACTGATCAACGGGTGGGTTTTCAGACACCAGATTCTGTTTGCATTTTCAATTTGCGCATAAAGTGGAAACACCAGAAATTCAAAAAAAAAAAAAAAATCAAAATATTGCAAGCATTTTTATGCTTGAATGAGATCAACAAAAGCAAAACGCACTGTGAAATGGAGACAGACTTGAATTAATCATGACTGCCACTGAATCGTAACTATGATTGGACTAACCTTCATAAATAATACACTGAATAGAATGTGAACAAAGTTTATTTCATTTAAAAGGTGAAATCAGCTTCTTATGAAATTCATTTTTATTCTCTGTGTGAAAGAATACATACATCAAAAACAGTGAATGTTTTCTCTGCAGAAAGAGAAAAGCAAAAACACAGTGGTATTAAAGAGATCAATTCAAACACAGCTTCAACTCACTCTTCAGTCACATCTGGAAGATTATTTTTGTTGCTTTTCAGCCTCAGATTGTAACACACAAAAGAAAAGATACAAACTTTCCCAAACCTTTTGTATAATCCCTCAGGAAACGGTTTTCATCCAAACTCATCAGGCTTCATGCAAGAACACGTTTGACTTTTTTCTAAGTTTTGTTGGTACAAGTGAGACTTGTCGTAAATAGGCCATACAGTCCATTCAGTCTTGCATGAGGCCAAATGTGTAACTTAAGTCCTGGTAATGTGTTTACGTCCTTAGAGAATCCTTTGTAAACAGATCAGTCCAGTTGTTCCACCACCACCTCATCAGATTAGGGTGCACACATACTACGTACCTAAGATCAGTGCTCACACTGAAAAGATTACACTGCTACAAACTTAAGATGTGGAACCACATTTTCAGGGGCTTTTAATGGCAATTAAAAACTAGTAAAGGTACCAGAATTCAGGTTAGCAGTATTTATTCAGAGAGCAAGATGATGTGTAAACAGGTTTGATTAAGTGATTATTGATCAATTAGTCATGAAATTTTAATGCCTTAGAGAAACATTTAAAATTTGAAGCCAAGTTTTTATTTATTGGTTAATTGTATAATCTACTAAAAAGAAAAAGAAAAGTGAAAAACCTCATCTCTGATGTCTTCAAATATCTTTTGTTTAAAACAAAAGGATATTTGGTTTAAGACAATGAATGACAAAAGAAGAGCAAACCCTCCATCTGAGAATCTGGAACCAGGGAGTGGTTGGCATTTATTCATTATTTTTCTTGAAACTGACAAACTGATTATAATGACAAAAAAGAAAAGCCTTTTAGCCAAGTCTCTTAAATCTAAACATTCTTAAATTTCAATTCCAACACAGAACATTTAACTCTTAATGTGCAAAAGTCAGCATTTTTTCCATTTGCCCTTGCGCACCAATGTTTCTGCAGGCATTTAGCGATACCACTAGTTTTATTAGTGCATCTCCGTTAAAGCCAACTGTTAAAGCCAACGACATGATGAGGGCTAGCGACAGCAGAGGATGTTCAGAGGGCTGGCAAATGTAAAAGCAGTGGATAAGATGCCAGTGAAGGACAAACTCGACGTGTAACGTGCTAACCAAAGTGCTCCTGTGGCATTACTTTATGGTGACTGTTAACTAGATTTGTATAGTTTAAAAATTATAGTCCACCTTAAACATTAGCTCATGATGCAAACCCAGTATGGGCAAATTCATAGCAAAGTTTTTTTGTTCTTTTCTTTTTAATCCTCTCACACACAACCTGAAAATAGCAGCCTGCTTTCAGACTACGTACACCTTCGCTCTCAGCAAAGCTTCCGGTCGCCACTCTGAAATCTGAGGAAAAATAATACTATTTAAAACTAATCGCAATAAGTGCAGTAGGAAAAAGACCTGGTTCAGCCCTGCCCCCCTCGGCCAGCTTGCTACAGCTGTGCTTCTTTGCTCTTGTACAGTACATACAGTTTACAGTAATGACACAGGCAGATTTATCATCAAAATTCATTTTTTTTAAAGGGTTATCCTTTTCTAAAATTTTGATTTTGTTGAAATGCCAGTGGATAGTGACAGATTTCATCAGCTTTTGTTAGCTACTTAAACTAACATCAGCTGCATGAACTGGTAGAAAACCCCATGTCTGGCTGACTCCCACATCTGTCCAGTTGACCTGCTGTTAGAAAACCGACCCCACAAAATAATGAAGTGGTCTTATACGTGCACTTAATTGCTTCATACATGTCTTCATGCTAACAGCCTGAGGCTAAAGCTAGCAGATCCCAGGTAAAAAGTCAAGCTGATCCATGTAGAAGACACAGAAATAGTGGTGTTCCTGCACAGGTGTAGTTCTGGTGTTATATGAGAAGGACAATTATAAGACCGGACAGTTATTTCACTCCAATGTAACTCTGCTTAGCGAACACATGTATATTAAGCTTTCAGTGCATCTCCTCCTGTTAGGACTTTCTTTGATCTACTTATCCTTGCAGCCCTCTTCAATTTATTATTTCTATACTGCATCTATTATTATTAAGACTTTCTTTAGTTTTTACTGTCAAGCACTTTGTGACATCTGATCTTTCCAACATGCTTCCAGAATAAAGGCCTTCAGGATGAGGATGAACTGACGAGTTACTGGAGAGCTGACTTCTCTAAATCCACACAGAGCAGGAGAGCAGCTAACACGAGCCTAAACTCTGTTAGCATCCAGAACCGACTCCCACTACACAGTGGATGTGCTAGTTGTTAACAGGGATTTGTTTTACTTAACATGTAACTCCACAAATTAATGTAGCTAGCTAAACATATCCTTCCTGTTTCAGTTACTAGTCCTGCAGGACACTAGCCAGTTAGCCAGACATGCTAACAGGTACAGCTCACATTAAAGCTGATAAACACGCTGTACAGACAGAGTTTTAACATGCTGAGAAATCTAAATCATGACACAAGTGCCCTGCCTAACATTTCTGAACAATCATTATTCAGGTCAAAGGTTTTGCTTTAACTATCAGCTCTCTGATTTGAATTATAAACTAATCACTTGCATTGATTTTCCAACTGTACTGTGAACTAAAACCAAGCAATTTCCTGATAATGAAATGAGCCAGGCCTGCTATTAATAAATATCACCAGCACCTCTTAGCTGCTCATATCAGCTTCCCCAAACACTCAAAGCAGGAAAGGGGAAAAAAAAGTTTAAGATTATAAAAAGGCAAATATATTAGTACAACACTCATCCCATATCTTGGCAAACTAAACCATCATTGCCCCGACCACAGCCACATCACTTAATGCTGACTGAGGTGATGATCCAGAGGACGATTCTGTATTTATGCTTTCATTTGCAAAATTTGTTTTTCTCTTCTGCCTTTACTTGTTTGATTCTGTGAGTTCTACATTTGTTATGTTGTTATTGCTATTATTATTTTACATGGACTGTCTACAGCGGAGTGCCACACTCATCTCAGACAGACTAAACAGTCAAACTGAGTCCAGATTATTACAAAAAAAAAAAAATCCATAATAAGCCCAGAGGAGGCCCATTGCAAGACTAACAGAACACTGTTTCCTTATTCAGTGTTGACAGCGTTGTTAATCATGGCATACTAAGGTTGAATTCATCAGCAGTTCTGGACTTTGAGGGCAACACGCTCCTACAGCTCATGACCATTTGTGGTTTGGACAATAAATGTGTCAGTCCAAGCTCCACAAGCTCTGGTGCAGACAACCAGCCTCACATCAACAGAGAAATGACATGACTCCCTTATCTGCACGGTGGAACAAATGCACATTACCAACATTTTACTTGTGAAGCATTCAGACATTTTGGACATTTTTTTTTTTTTTTAAGTTCTTTTTTATAATTTTGTTAAATGAATAGTTGAACATTTTGGAAGCTTGCTCTTCAGACTGATCCCACTCTTGTGTCTCTGGGATAAATGTGAAGCTACAGCCAGCCACTGAAGTGGCTAAAGGTGTCAGTTTGTGCTTTCACAGGGGTTCAAGTAGCTTCACAGAGTATTCAGACTCTTTGCTTTCTGTACAGATGAGACCACAGAGAAACAACCTGTTCATCAGCTCCGGAGTGCTGGCAGGTGGATTTTGTCAGCTGCACACGGGGCCAGACTAGCTGCTACCCGTTTCCAGTCTTTATGCTAAGCTAACCATCTGCTGCAGCTTCATATTTATTACATGACAGCGACATCAACCTGAACATCTCACTCCGATTAGGAAAGCAAATAAGCACGTTTCCCAAAATGATGAACTATTCTTTGAGAATTACATATATTTCCAGTTGGAGCTTCTCTTTTGGCACAACCACATCATGGCTAGTAAAAACAAAAACATAATAAAAACCTGGTGCCCTCATCTGCCCTTCGCCAGTGAACACAGTGAAATTGTCTAAGCAACCATTGTACCCTGAAAGTATCTCTGCTGGACTCCTTTCTGTTCCTCAGACTTTGACCTCTAGGCATCAGTGTTGCCGTTCTCCTCCGGCTGCAGCTGCTCCTTCTCAGTGTTGTCCTCCTGCGGGGGGCGCACTCGCTTAAAGAAACCCAACTGAAGAAGAAGGGGACAATAATTGTCACTGGGACTCATGAGACCAGTAAAAACAGTCAATACAGTAGACTTGTACTTAGCTGTTTGCCAGATGACTCATAGTGATTTATTCTGTCTGATGAATACTAAGTATAAAATGAACTGGAGGAGGATCTCACCTCAAACTGGTTTGGTAGAGATTTAAATGAAAAATATGTCTACAGTTAAAGCTGTGGGATTCCAATGACTTTACATGTGTCTGGACACTGAAAAGTGTCAGAATAACTGTTCTGAAATGTCACATCACACTACAGCGTGTCCATACATACAGGACTGTGCAAAGGTTTTAGGCACTTCACATGTTTAGATTCTTCCCCTTTATCAGTCCCATCAGGAGGCGTCTGCTCAGTCCCAGATTCATCCAGAAGCCTGACCCTGAGCCCAGACCTCCACCAGATTCATAAGGGTTTTTCCATTATAAGAACCTACCAAAATGCGTTGCGCCCAGTAACGCTCTTCACAGGCTCTAGCTTTGTTTCCCCTACAGTGCAACTGCTTTGGAGATACATTCTGGGAGCTAAATTTCAACACCCCTCAGGAGGTAGTACTAAAATCACATACGAGGACCATGAGGGGGTGTGTGCACACAGAGAATTCACCGGTGATCGGTTAAATGTCAGTGTCTTCACACCTCAAGCATTAGCATTACAAACACTGTGTGTAAACACACAGCTGAGTTTGTTTGTGACAGGGGAGCAGCCCGTTTCTCCTCTAAACAGAGACTGACAGAGAGAAAGTGAATGAATGTCACTTTCAGCTTTTTCCCACTAGGGGTTGCCACAGCATGTTGACATTTGGCATGTGTTTTACACCAGATGCCCTTCCTGACGCAACCCTGACTCGAACCCGGGTTGCAGCAGTGGGAACGCTGCGCCCTAACTACTAGTCTATCAGGGAACAGAGAGAAAACACAGTGGAAAAACAAAGCAGGACGTTCGGCATCAGCCCCGGAGGCCAAGCTCCGGTGATGGCTAAGGGACATAGGGAGTGTACCTTTTGCTAGGTTCCCATAGTGGAAACACAGCATTAAAGACCTATGTTCAGAGACCAGAAGGACCAGGAGTGCGGCAGCAGGTGGTCCAGCCCCCACAGAGCCCTGATCTCAGCATCATGTAGTCAGTTGGGGATCACACGCAGAGACAGAGACACTGAGACAGCCTGAATCCATAAGGGACCCGTGGCAGTTTCTTCAAGACACTGGAGACACTTGGCGGCACTGTATCAGCAGTAAAGTCCTACAAGTTCCTGGGCTCCACTATCTCCCAGGACCTGAAGTGGACGTCCAACATCAGGACCATCATCAAGAAGGCACAGCAGAGGATGTACTTCCTACGCCAGCTCAGGAAGTTCGGCCTGCCCCAGGAGCTGCTGATACAGTTCTACAGAGGAATCATGGAGTCTGTCCTCTGCACCTCCATCACTGTCTGGTTTGGCTCAGCAACCACACAGGACAAGTACAGACTTCAGCGGACAGTCAGGACTGCAGAAAAGGTCATTGGTGTGAGCCTGCCCTCCATGGAGGATCTGTACTACAGCTCACGGGTCAAAAGGAGGATAGAGAGGATCACTGCAGACCCCTCACATCCCAGATACAATCTGTTTGAACTCCTCCCCTCTGGACGGCGTTACAGGTCAGTGTGCACCAAGACAACCAGGCACAGGGACAGTTTCTTCCCCCAGGCTGTTACTCTGATGAACACTTAACCCATGATAGTATGACTGGACAATAACCCTCAGTGCAACACCTGTAAATATACCTTGTACAGATTATACAGATTCGTACAAGTCTCTATTTTAAGTACTCCATTTTCATTCCTACTTATCCCATTTCACAATGAGTATTATTTGTCTGTCTGCATTGTTTACTGCCTGTTTATACTGCTTATTTTGCATTGTTTGGACTGTTTGTTGCTTGTTAATACTGCTGATTTTGTTATACTACACAGCCTTATGTTGGTTTACTGTTTATTTGCCCCTTGGATGGGGATATGTACATGCACATTGAGAGCCGATGTACCAGAGTCAAATTCCTCGTGTGTCCGACACACCTGGCCAATAAAGCAGATCCTTATTCTGGGCTTTATTTCTGAAAGCATCCTCACTTTACTGTTAGTGCCTGAAATGTTTGCACAGGACTGTAGATGTGGTTGGAACAAGGCTCTAGTTGCCTGAGATCGGCTGTGTGGTTTGTGCACCTGTGTGTGC